TTGTGGGTTTAAATCCAAATTCTGCCAGACATTTTTTTTAAATGACTTTGGCGCCCACAATTAATGCTATAATTGAAAAACAATGCTGTAATGATACCACTGAGATTTTCTTCCTAACTGTCTATATCACGAGTCAATTTCTAGTTGAAATTACAGACGGCAGATAACATAGGTGAACTAGGGATGCTGGAAATTATCAATATTCTGGATTCCATTTTGCTATTCTGTCCGAGTGAGTAGTTTTTGTTGTGTTTTTATTTTAAATGATAAAACTGTGGAAAAGGAATGTGTTCTAGATATGGCCAGAAAAGGATTGAGTTAGACACATGACTATAAAGAAGGGAACTAGCCAACTCATCTTATATTTTATAACCTAGAATAAGTGATGACGTAACACTTCACACCCCAAAGGCAGTGACTCTATAGAAGGACTTCTGAAAATTTGCTGTAGCTTCTGTGAATTTTCTGTAGCTATGAGATTTAATATCATACCAGCCACCTTTACTTCTCTTTAATTTCCTTATGTCTATTTTAGGTTAGGACAACCAAAAAGCCCACGTAAATTTAAAAAACTTTATAAATCTTTTCATCAACACAACATATACTGTAGTAAAATAAGTAAAAGATTACAAAATGTACTCAAAAAATCATAATGCATTCTTGTATTGTCATGAAAATAACTGTTCAAAATACATATCACTGTAGCACTAAAGTACTATAACACAAATATGTAATAAAAATGATACAAGGCTATGGTATTCTTGTCCACCCAGTTACACACCAGAAATCGATGAAGTATTTGAAATGTGAAGTTAAACATCAGATTCACAGGAAAAGGCAACATAAACAAAACAAAACAAATCACAATCTTAACTCAAGAAGCGGCTGTGGTCCAGTTTCAGTTAGAGTGTTAACAAACAGAAATGACTGTGTATACTGCAAAAAGTAAAGGACTATTTTCACTGGCATATGACTAATGATGTTAGACTGATATTTTCACAGACTAACCAGTACTTGATAGGTGATGTGGTCAACATCCCACCAGCCAGCTTTATTACTTCACAGGATTTTAGCTGGTCCCCATTTTAGGCTGGGCCAACCTGGCAGCCTAGGTTTTTGCACTTCAACTATATATATATTGTATTTTCTGGTAATTCTGTGAGTTGCTTTCTTTTTAAAGGCAAACAAATGCGAAAATATGGCATATAAAGAATAAGTTGCAATACAAAACCTCAGATATTTTTCATAAATTTTAAAACGCTTTAAGAACCTAAAGGTTTTTCCAATTCATTTAGAATACTTCAACTCCATAATTAATAACTATGGGAAGTGCTCAAAAGAATTATGCAGCAGGCTAAGCATAGTAAAGCCAAAACGTCATACACACACACAAAAAGTTAGTTGCTATCCTTTACAGGACATTGCAGAACCAACCCCAGCATTTTTTGCTAGTGTTTTTTTTTAAAGGCGAATTTATGCAAAGTAGTTTGCCACTGTTTCTGGAAGGTGGGCTCTTGATACCATTGTCAAAACTAACACAATTTGGTCTGCTGCCAAACTGAACTTAGCACCCCAGCATTTTATAGTGCGTTCGCGATGTCTAAGCCACAGAGACTGACTAAACAGCACCAAAAACCTATGGCACATCAACAAATAAATAAAAGTAACAATCTGAGAATACGCATTTCCCTGTTGCAGCATATGCATGTGAACGATGAAGCATTTCACATTTAACAAGGAAGAAAAAGCGAGGATTTTGAACTTGAATATTTCACATTTTCAGAAAACAATAGATTACGTCTTAAAATAAACTTAGAAAATAAAATTCCTTGGCTACATTAAACAGTGGTTTTGATTTAACCACAATAGAAGGCATAGTTCCTGAAAGCAAAAGCAGAGACTGAACAAAAATAAACATGAAATATTAAAGACATACTGTGCATGAAAATGCATGAGAGTGAAAAAGTGACAAAGGATTGAGTCTTCCGGTGAGACCTGATGAGAGCACTGTGCAAAAAACCAGCTACACATCGTTAATGTATAACTTTTATGTACTTGTATTCTCATGAACTAGTAAAGAAGTGTTATTTCCAACCCCTGCCCACTTTAAAAACAATCACACTGATGTTAAATTGTTCTTCTTTGTTCGCAGACTGTAAGCTTTGGCGGAAAGTCCTGGTTGTTTGTCCTACTGGACTTTGGCTTTGTGCCAGGGCCTGAGTTTTGTGTGCACATCTGTTTTACTGGCTTTTCTGTGTCAAGTTGGTTGTTCCTTGCCGCTCAGACAGACGGACTCCGACTTCAAAGGAAGCTCCCAATTAGCCGACTCCTGCTTGTTAGGGTGGCAGTGGGCCTATTCTTGTTTTCCCCACAACGGGGCTAGTGATGTTATACAAAACAGAGAGTATATGAAAAAATATCCCAACCACAGGTGTCTCCACCTTGCTGCAGTGGGGAAGCTTGTGTTTCTTAATGATGCTGAGAGCAAAAAAAAGGTGCGTACACAAAGGTGTTAACTGCAAGTAGACCATGACGATGGAGAGATAATATACAGGCAGACTTACAATCGCATGAAGTCACCAACTGGAAAGAGAAAGCCAATCATAGAGATAAATGGAAGTGGGTGACATATGCAGCAATTGACCTGTAGGGTTCAGAATGCTAAAGAAGAAGATTATAAAAGACACCAGGTCAAAAAGAGAGAAATAGGTACTGGCCTTAAATACTGACCTTTCTTTATAAAATGCTTACAAATGTAAACCCTACAAAAATTAACCTCCTGCCTTGTATGCTGGTGCTTTCCCATCTTTCCAGATGATAATGTTATACTATACTATAAGGAGACAGAATCACAGCCCATGGTGATGGCATGAGTGACTAGCAAGGCAAGACCCACTCGTGTTAAGAGAAGTCTTCCACAATTAGAGCAGGGAATTTCAAGACTGTTGTTGTCATCCCATGTATTTAGTTTGCTTTTACTCGGACACGCAGTTTTCAATCTTTCTACAATAATATTTTCCTTAATTCCCATTCGCTTCCTGATTTCCCTGCCCACACAACATGGTTCATGGCACTTTTATCCCATGAATCTACCTGAATACCTCTATCATTCATGTCCCACTTGCATACATCTTTATTAAAGGTTATCTACCCATCTGTACTTCATCACAGAGGATGTCATTAGGGATTCTACCATCCTCTATTCTCTGGGTGTGCACTGTCCCCTGAAACTTCAATCAGAGACTCAGCATATAGAAAATTGTTGTAATACCTACTCTTTAGAATACCTCAGTGTCTGTGATCTTGTCTTGCTCTTAACTCTTTGAGTCCCAAGGAACACATCATACGTTCATAGGTTCCTACCTAGAAGCCCAATGAACGCATGATGCACCAATTTTATGTCTCTCTTCACTACCCCTTGGGCCTGTGATGCTAAACCCCTTGAGCCTGTGATGCTAAACCCCTTGAGACTCAAAGAGTTAATGCCATGCATTCTTCTTAGGCATCACATAAAAAAAACTATTTAGTCTTAGGTATGAACTATCTTATAGATGTGTACTTCATTTTTAGGTCACATTTCTCGCAATCACTGTTTGTGACAATATTATACCAAAATATGAATCTTGTTTTAAATAGTGGAGCAAATGTTTGGTGAGAAGTAGTAAATTAACCTAGAAAGTTTGGGTTTTATTCTAAATTAGGCATCGCCACAGACCATGTTTGATAAACTTAACCTCTTTGTGTGTGTAAAAGTGAGTGAGTGAGTGTGTCTCTCTATATCCCCAAATAGATATGGAAACACACATGAATGAAATTGAGACAAATCTGCTGCTAGTTTAATTAAATCCACTTCAAAAAAGTGTTTACAATAGCTTGTTATAAAACTGCCAGAAATCTGTAGCTTTAACACAAACTAAACATAATTAAATTATTAAAATTTCATGAACTCATAAAGTAAAATAGATTAACCGTAAATGCTGTAGCCATGGCAAATAAACAGGATTATTAATTCACAATCTTACATACAAAATACAATATAAACAATTGCAAAAGTAAAGGACCGTTTCCAAGTCCTTAAGGCGTATTGTGTATGTGATGATAGTCCCATATTCTTGTTCAGACCAACTGACAATTCATACAGTCAATATCATAAGGACCGACTTTATCTGACTATGCATCCAGGTATATTTTCTGATGCCCATTTGAAGCCAAGTCAACCTGGAAGAAAAGGGTATTTTGGTTTTTTACATCTGCTTAGATGGATATTCAAACAAATGACTATCCGGTTGACAGGCAAGCTCACCAGTATCTGCATGAAAAGTTCCCTAAAATATATTGTAATTCATTATATACTGTCAGGAAATAAACTGTGTCTTATCCACTGTGGAAGCTGGGTGCAATGTATCCACTGTGGAAGCTGGGTGCAATGTATCCACTGTGGAAGCTGGGTGCAATGTATCCACTGTGGAAGCTGGGTGCAATGTATCCACTGTTGATGATGGAATTATTATGAGTTGAGTCCCCAATCTCTCCTTCGGTGTGTCTTTCGTACCACTGTCTGAAAACTGTAAGAATGATCTTTTTCTAAACTGCCCACCATGGGAATCGAACCCGCTAAACATTGAGGACTGCATTGTGAAACAATTTCACTAACCTCTGCCACACATGGTCAGTATATTTATCATCAAATGGACATGTAAATATGCCATTAATTTAATATTGCTGCCACTTTAAATTTTTTAACTGACTAAATTTAATTTTACTGTAATTGTAATAGCAATTTAATGGGGATGTGGGAACGGGCTTGAAAATATTACTCCGAAGATCATCTACTATTATTTTATTAACACCATCACAGACATACTGGAAGCACCCAACACAAAGTAGAAAAACGTTCCATTATGAAACAGTGGTGATCATATTACCATCGAATGATTATGTCCACAAACGATGTGCAGTCATAAATTGTTCACAAACACACTGCATAATAGTTTAGTGCACTAATATGCCATATTCTGAAGCACAGGTGTCACAATTTGACATCCACAGTTCATATGCTCCACGATTTTCTGTTTGAGTTTCATAACTTGGTCCCTCAAACTTGAGGCTGTGGTAACAAGGCCATTATTTTGTCCTTTAAGTTCATTCACACGGTCTTCCAGTCGTGAAATCCTCTCTAACTTTCGTGTACGACATTTACGTGCTGCAACTCTATTACGGGCTCGTTTTCGTTCAAGCTTGATCTTTTCTTGAGACTCCATGTTGATGGGTGATAAGGGTGGCGATGTACCCAGAGACGGTACCGTTTGTGGTTCCTCTTTTATTTCCGGTATCCTTACATCCAGTTCATTTGTAAGCACGGGCAAATTGAGCCGAGAGTGTGAGTCAGAATCTGCAGATCTTGGAGGGCTGACACTAGTGGGACCTCTACTCATTTGACCCCCTGGCAAAGATGTAAGCAGTTCACTGGCTGACGAGAAAATTGGTACAGCAGCTACTGTAGGGACAGCAGCGCTTTGTGAAAGTGCAGTTGGCGCTGTTAAAGTTGTAAATGTTCTTGTGAGTTCTTGCGTTCTTGGATTTACCGTGAGGGCTCCGCTGCCTTGAAGTTCTGCTAAGGCATCAACAAAACCTCTAGCGTATGCCTCTTGTTCCTCTGTTACAAACTTCGGAAATACGAACTGTGTCGGTGTTGGCGTTGTGGTCACTAATCCATTAGCTTGAATAATCATCCTTTCCAGCTCCGGAGAAGCTAATTTCAACAAGTTAAGATCTGGCGAGGCTAAGACGGTCGCCAGCTTCTTCTGTTTTGTCGCAGAGCTGGAATTAAAATCCAATGTCATACTCCTTTTCAACTTTTTCACTTCCGAATCCGGACCATCCGAATCTGAATACAAGGACGAACGGTCCATTCTGGACTTCGATGAAGGTGTTCGTAAATCCAGATTGAAAAATAGTCACGTATCAACAATAATGATAACAATTATTCTATGTTTACAACAACCACCACAAAGTAGTTGGTGTGAGAGGCCGATGCAGTTAGTCACAACGGAACGTTTCTAGCCAGGCCAAAACTTCCTCGATAAAAACGTGAAGAGCTGCTTCCCGACCGATGAGTCACTCGCGCTTTATTTAGATCATGACAGCATTTTCTAAAAAGCCCATTGGTGCAAAATGAGATCACATATCACGTGGTTCCGTTAGCCCGTTACTTGGGCGTGAATCTATTTCTGGCGGGTTTCCCCAAGTGTGACTTGACGTGGCCTCGGTGAACCCTGGGAGGTCATAGGTCATTTTGAGATGTTTTGCAGACGACAGGGATCTATGATGGCTGGGAGGTAATGAGCTGGTTGTGTTTGTTGGTGTTGAGAGGTTGATGTGATGCTGGTAGTGGGACAGTTGTTATTGTATTGTGGCAGATGCACATTTCATTAGTAAAACATAACCTAGCTGGGCTACCTCCCAACGGTACTGTTTGATTTCTTCCCAAAGTAGCAGTTATTATTTCCTCAACAATGACAATGACAATAGCATTCTGTTAATGATTAATTAAATTAATAACTTATCTTTCTTTGTTATTAAAAAAATCATTGTGATAAATATATTAATATGTCAGTGTTGATGTTATAACTGGAATTTATTATTATATACATAGTTTATGGTTATTTCATCATCATCATGTGCCCTGCCAACTGGCGTAGGCGCTCATGCGTCTCCACAGATCACGATCCCTGGTTGCCTGGAAAAGCTCTCTTGAGGATATCCCTCCATGCCATCGTTTCAGCTGTGAGCTTTGTCTGTTAATGAACCATATAGGTCTGGGCTATTCAAATAGTGACCCACTGTTGGCTGAATGTGGCCCACAGAGGCATAGAAAGTGGCCAATGGATCTTTCCCACTTGTATTGTACTGATGATATTTCTGTGCTGGGGTTCAGGCACGATGGCCTGGTTCAGGCTTCTGGCCCAAGAAGATCCCCTTTTTCAAAATGTTGACTCCTGAGTTGTGTAGGCCTGCAATATGGTGTACCTATTGGAGCAGCAAGACAAGAAAACCACGCAGGAGCCACCGGTTGTTACATAATGGAAACTGTTAGCCTAAAAACAGTTGGAGACATACTCAGGAGTAGATCGGAGCTCTTTTTGTCATATTCTGATGTGTGATAAAGATAATCTTTAAATGAACAGCGAACTGTCCATAAAAACATCTGAACCAGTCAAAGCATCTATCTTTTCATTTCCTGTAACGTCAGTTTTTCCTGGCACACACAAAAAAAAATTGCCTCATTTTAGATTTCTGTATTTACACTTACCACTATTTCTGTACGTATCCGGAGTATATGTTCTTTAGCATAGCAATAGAGTCACAAAAATGCGTGTGTGTATGTGTGTGTGTGTGTGTGTGTGTATACATATATGTATATATACATACATATATGTATATATATATATAAAGTTCAACATTTATAATAATTGCAGCCATCAATTCAGCTTTTATTCAGAAGCACAGTGGTGCTGCTATCTTAACTACTGTTAGCAGCACCACTATTCTTCTTTGTGCTTTGAGCAGTACTCTAGCAGGTGACCACAGGGAGACAGGGCCATATGAGATGTTTTGTTTCTTTGTTTATTCGACGCATCAACATCATGGCACATGGGTGTAACCCATAAGTGCTCCGTTCTACTTCTAACTTAAGCCTGAGTCTGAAGAATCTCAGTGCACTGCATGAACTCCAAAGCACCAGCTCCTGAAATACTGTGGGTAGATTTTAAACTCCAAATTTTGCCTGGACAGTGCCATTAGGCTATTCTATTCGATTTCCAACTGCCAAGGGAATTGTCTATGTGCGCAAGGATACACACATGGGCGTCCGATCTCACTACCCAGAGACCAGGGGAAATTACTAGAAGTCCATATAAAAAAAATCCCAGCCTTCACCGGGACTTGAACCAGGGACCTCCACACATATGAGATAAAACCTAGCACAATCAAGTCAGTCTGCTTGAGCACCCATTATCAAGTACTTATTGCCTTTGCAATTTATTGCCTTTCTTTGTGGGAACAAAATGGCCATGGATCGTGTTGAGTGGAGGAGGAAGTCAGGAAGGAAATAGTATAAAGGAACAATTGATTGCAGAAAGGTTGTTAGCTGATTGTCTGAGAAGAAGCCCACATGTGATGGCAACAGTGGTGCTGAAATCCCATGCTCTAGCTGAAGACGTTTCTTCAGGCTGGAGGATCTTGCTAGTCACACTTGCCAACACTATGGGTTGTGATTCCCATGCCTCTCTATAGCACAATATAACACTATCATCGGAAAGACAGAAAGTGCCAAAAACAAACATCAAATCACCTTTGCCACTAATAGACACATTCACACATATTTGTTTCCCTTTGCTTCAAGTGTTGTGAACCTAGCAGATGTATGAGGACTTGAACTAACAAGTAAAATGTACACACTGAAAGGTCCACCCATCTCAAATGATCTTTTAAATGAATATGAGGACTTACCTGGTCATAATGCCTATGAGAGTGGAAACCAGCTGGATGTGTCCTACATAATTCCTGAGGTAAACCAACAATTTCGTTTAAATTGCAATGAGCTTGATACCTAGAGTTTGGTGAAACAATCATGTCTTTTAAAAGTCACTGTAGGAACAAGTGGGGAATGAGGCATCCCAGTGATAAGTGTAGAAACTTGATTAAAGTAGAACTGTTAGTAATAATATATGTATTAGAATGTATTTTGTTATGTCGACTTATTGTCAGGTGTGTGAGACCTCTTGTAAGACACTTGCCAGTGACAATCCAGATGAATTTGAATCATGGAAGTCAGACCACCTTCCAAACTGTGATAACAATTTCACAGGATCAGCAGGTATGATGGAGGTGGAGGCTGCACGAGTGCTGTGGCAGTGGTCTGTGGCAGCGGTCTGTGGCAGCAGTCTGTGGCCCGTCATAAGCTTCACTTTACATCAATACTGTCTAATGGTGATGCGAAAACATTTGCGAAACTTATCAAGATAGAACCTTATGGGGACGACATTCACATAGAAAAAGAGAAATGTATCAACCATGTGAGTAAACGCCCTGGAACAGCACTCCGTAATGTTGTTGCTGACTGCCGAAAGCAAGGTGTGTCCCTAGGTGGACGAGGTAAAGGTCAACTTACACAGAATGCCATCTGTAAGCTGACAATTTATTACAATAGAGCAATAAGGAACAACACAAGTGTAGAGTCCATGAGGAACAGTGTTATGGCTTCACTGCAGCACTGTTTTTTAACAGACAAAACTCCACGCCATGAAATGTGCCCAAGTGGAGAGCAATCTTGGTGTTTTTTCCAGTCTGCCCTGGCTAGGCATCAGATCCCGGGTCCTCATGACAAGATGTTACATACATGGCTTAATTGTGACAAGCTACAGAAATATCTTTTGACAATTTATGAAAGGTTGTCTGACCCTAAACTACTTAGTAGGTGTGTTTCAGGAAACACTCAGAATTCTAATGAGTGTTTGCACAGTCTGATCTGGGCTCGCTGTACTAAAGACAACTTTGCCTCGCGCAATCGCGTTCAGTTTGCAGTTATAACTGCTGCAAGAGAGTTCAACTTTGGTGCTACTGCAGCCCATGACACTGCACAGTTTTTTGGATTTTCTCCAGGCCTGCATATGAAGAGACTAGGAGCATCTAGGATTCAAAAGAGCGTTAGAAATAGCTTGAAATATAAAAATGACAAGCAAACAAAGAGACGGGACACTGTGCGAGCGGCCAAACTGAAGAGGCAGGAAGAACTGCAGGCCCTAGAGATTAGTCCTGAAGAACATTGGGGGTAGTCAAAGAAAAGGAGGGCAAAGAAGAATCTGTAATGACAACATCAAGAAATGGACAGGACTAAGTTATCATACACTTATTCATCAAGCTGAAGACAGAGAGAGATGGCGGGTTTTATGTGCTAGTGCTTCCATCAATACACCTCCACAATCCTAATAGGTCAAGGGTGGTTATGTTATATTATGTGTATTAACTCTGTGAGTCCCAGAGGGTTTAGCATCACAGGCTCAAGGGGTAGTCAAGAGAGATGTAAAATCGGCGCATCGTGCGTTCATTGGGCTTCTAGGTAGTAACCTATGAACGTATGATGCGTTCCTTGGGACTCAAAGAGTCAAAATGTTTTTTTTTTAATCATTCTAAAATAATCCTGTCACAGAAAATGTATTTTGTAAATCCTATTAAAACAAAGCTTCCACTTACTTATTTTATCTATAGGTGTATCTGAGCTTAGTGTGGCAGTCTGGAAATCTGGGCATTGCTTATTATGATGTATCCAATCATCAAATCTATGTTATGGCAGATGTTCCAGAAAATAGTGAATTTTTACTTTTGAAGCAAAGTATGTCATTTATCAGTTTTAGACAGTTTGTGAATTGACAGTTTATCTTAATTGTAAAGAAGTTTTTTTTTTTTTTAAGTTTATAATTTTTTGTAAACTTTTACAGTTTTAGTTATGTGCATTTTTTTTTCAGATTATATTTTAGTCTTGTACACGGTTATAAAGGAAATATTTATAAATTATAACCAGCATTAAAATAAAATAGTTTGATAGAAAAATAATGATATATCAGCAGCAATTTCTTGCAGATGCACATTTCTTGTAATTTTAGAAAATGCCGACCATCTCAGACCTGTTATATTTAATGTCCTGATATATTTATGTGGCAAAAACATATTTTACAGTTCACTGAAATGGCCAATACTGCAAAATTTCTGAGGTGGAAAGTCTAACCCCAGCCAGAAGGCGGTAGTTTGTGTGGTGCATAATATAAATCTGGTCTGACCACCTTCCACGCACAAACATATTTGCTGCTCTGCATGTATTTCAAGGGTTTTTGACTGCTTTGAATATAAAGCCCTGTGAGAAAACCAATACAGAGGTCATTGACTAAGATCCTGGTCCTGGAAACTGTTAGCTTCAAATTAAAGACTGGAGCTACTGAAAGTGTGGAAGACATCAAAGTCAAGTCTAATCACTGCTTTCACAAGGTTCAGTTAATAGAAATTCTTCTTCTTCTTCGCGTTCACCAGCTATAAACTCCGGCGGAAAGTTCTGGTTGCTTGTCCACTTCTGGACTGCAGTCCTTTTCCAGAGCCTGAGTGTTGCGTGTGCATCTGTTTTACAGATTTGACTCATTTCTGGTTCTCTCATTTCTGGTCTCTCAGGCAGGTGCAGTCCGACTTCGAAGGAAGCTCCCAGTTAGTCGACTCTTACGACATGCTTTTGGTTAGGCAGTGGGTCTATTCTTGTTTTCCCTATAATAGGGCCCCGGAACCCACACGGGTATTAATAGAAATTAGGTTAAACAGTCATGTGATGATTCCTTAGGTGAATCCATTGTCACATACCGCTCCCTTCACGTGCCTGATTTAAGGATTTCTCCTTAAGAACCAACAGCACTCTGAAATAATTATGTTGAGTCGTTGGCTCATATTGGTCTAAGGGATATCCCGTGGCCAATATACGCTCAACTTTTTTCAGGAGTAGGGTAACTCAAGCTTTGGCACTACAAAATATATAATATTCCTAGGCACACTTGGCTGGACACCCCCACTACTATAAAAAGGTAGCCCCAGGGTTATGATAGTATACTATCATAACCATGTTAACACAGATGAAGATTATTACTGAACATACATGTATTTTAGACAGCTAAGAACAATGAATGAGTGACACTCCAGTCAATAGTGAAACTTTTGAAATACTGTAATAAGTGTAACACATACATTATAAAAGAATCAGCAAAGAACTTCAAGAACCCAGAGTGATATGGAGGACCAAAACTTCAAACTCGATCTGACTGAGCATGTATGCATGTTCCAGAGTCTGCCTAGATCATCTTTATGATGAGTGTGGACATTTAATAGTGAAGCCTGGCAATAAACCCATGATTGCCCACACTTACTGAATCCTTGGTTTCTTGAACTAGGTGGATGTTCAGTCACTCTGTTGTTACGTTCAAGACAGTCCCACACTAAACACTTGAACACTGGAGACACACCCAAGCTCCTGGAGAGGATCTCAGGTACCAAGTCAAACACTTGAGGCACAAACAAACTGCCAGATAACTGATGATGGAGGTACAACACCCATAATGTTGTCTGTAGACCAACTGGAGGATTTCATTAATTGATGACCCCAGTTAGGTATATAATTTGATGCCCACAACTGGCTTAGACATAGGTGACTTCCTTGTAGGTGGTTTTGTGGACTGCTGATTCACTGCCTGGCCTCCAAGGAGGTATCATCCTGTATCAAGAAGGAACTCAGAATTAGCAGTCATCTCAGGGGTTACATGTCAAGCTCAGTTTATTAACATCCACATTAGTAATCATTCAGAGGACAGCTCTGAGGATAATGAGACAGTATAAGTCTCTACATATCATCTCTATTGTTCAGTCAGTAATAGTGACAGGAGATGAGTGCCAGAGTGGAGACAGATAGACTATCAAACAGAGAACATCAACTCTCCTCGCCTACACGCACTTGTAGATATACATCCCATCTCTCTCATATATATATATTTTATACCATCCCCCGTCTGTTCACCGTACACACTTTGTTGTGCTAAAAATAACCTTTGACTCGGAGCCCCGAGCTTGCTTTTGTCACAGCATCAAGCCGGCCAAAGATGACCCAGTTTTCATGCGTCTATTAGTCGATACAAATCCTACGTTTGGTTATAGAAAAATTACTTGTAGGGTTTAATATCTTTACAAATGGTGTGGGTTATGTAGAGCACAAACTATTTAGTCTGCACAGGGAAGTTTAATGTTCGGAGCCTGATCTCTGGACATCAAGAACGGCCCAACTCTGTGCGATCACACAGCTGAAACTTCCCTCTATGCAGCAGTGGCCAACTTTAAAAAGACATATTTTATGGTACTCGTAAACTATAATCAACTTACCCAAGCTTAGGAAATGTCCTAGACACCAAAGGCCGCCTCCTCAAAGCATAGATGTACTAGGCACATTTGAGAACATCTGTTCTTCTAGGCAGTCAGGCAGAAAATGCCCGCTTCAAACTACGTTTAGCGTCACTAGGAAAGAAGTCCTGTGTATTCATGCCTAAGGAGTAAACCGGCTTACAGGAATTTCTAAAATAAAAACCAGAAATCTTCAACCTACAGTTGCAAGTTTGAAAATGAAGATTTATCAAAGCAACTGGAGGGTCTAGAAATGAATATATTACCAGATAAAGGCATATATCAATATAAGGGACTATATACCCTTCTGGACGGGTTTAAGTTTGAAATTTGACTGTCCGCGTAGGGAAGTCAGATTCACGACTTGTCCATCGTGTAGTGTTGGCTGCTCACTTCACGACATCCATGACCAAAGCATCATGTACCACCTCTGATTTATGAAAATTTCCTTGGATGACAAGGATTGTTCAATGTGCTTCCTTTACCTTTCCTTATGGATTCAACTGTATGTATTCAGCTGCTCTGAATGAGTCTGTTTTGATGCATCACCTATGGGGAGAGCCCAAAAGGTGACATCACTACTCCTGAAGGTTAACATAAGTAACAAAAGCTAGTGTGTTGGCCAAAACCACAAACATTGCAGCTGTGTAAGGAGGCACAAATCACACCTAAGAAGACACGAGCGAGAAGAAGCTCAGTAAAAGAGGTATAGCACTTTGTCATCATTGTGAAATGTTAGCAGAGATGCACTGTTTACAATAATTTAATTGAAATTGACAGTGGAAAATGTTCATTTTTCTTTCAGTCATCAGAGAAGTTCAGCCAAAAGTGATTGTGCTGAGTACTGTTCATGACAGTGGCTTGCTAGCATGTCTGAAGAAACAGAGTAAGTTCTTGTCTTTATTTTAATACATTACATTACAGAGCTTAAATAGAGTATACAGTACTATCCTATGTCAGATGGCTTGGTCATGTAATAAGACTATCCCTGAACAGCTTGCTGCAGACATAGTTGACATTTAAAAATGTGAAAATAGTTTGAGGCAGACTGCATGGAATAGATTAGGAATAGTGGAGGCAACAAACACCTCCATGTAAGCAACCTATATATGTACAAATCTGAAACAGTTACTTTTTTTTGCAATTTTGTTATAAAGAAGTAGCATTGTTATAATTCTGTAAAACTCTACCATGAGAAACTAGAAGGAGAGAGGAAGAAGCAAAGGAAATTGGAGTCTGGGTAAGTTTTTATAAAACTCCAGGGGATTAAAACCTATGACTACTGAACAAACAGGCAAGCCTGCGTGCCATTGCATCACCACGGTCAGCATGTCACTACAAAGATACACATTTCATATTTAGAGTATTTTTTGGGGGAGAGAGGGGGGGGGGGGATCCCAAAAAAAGTTAACATTTTCCTTCCCTTTGATCAAGAAAACATGGGTTTGTTGACACAGCCACAGAGAGCAGAACAGCATTATCATAAGTTTATTATAACACAGTGACTAAAAGATCAATTTATTGGGGGGGTAAAATAATCATCCTCACCATGTCTAAACACTTTGCAGCTGCAACCAGTATCAAAGCTACTATATAGGCATATGGGTCACCGCCAAAAGACGTCATGTCATCAAAAACCTCTACAAGTCAGAAAACTGGCTTTCTTGGGGCAAGAGGGATAACAAATTCAGTGACAATGGGTCTTGCATTTTACTTTTATTATTCATGTTCCTCAACTCCTTATGCCACATTCAACATCTTCTCTCTTGTGATGTCATAAGAGTTATTGTTTCCAGTAATATCTGTCTTGCATAGAAGGAATTAGTCTGTATATGCCTGGTACTGAGAGAGTTGAAGAAAAAGAGATGATAAATATATTGCAAATTGTTTGCCACCATAGCAGTTTCAGTCCTTGTCACTAATTGTGTTCCCTTTTTCTTCTAGAAGATGTTAAACTGTTAAACACAGTAAAACTATCAGGATATGGAGTAGTTAAAATAATGCTGTGTGCCAGAGCTAAAATGATTAATTAGAATAGGGTCAGTTACAGTGAGCTGTGAGTCTTGTGGTGGGTTGCTTGCTGCAGAGTGAGTTATAGGAGATGCAGGAACTTATTATCAGAAAAACAAATACTACAACAAAGTATTTCATTCTGCTATTTAAGATACATGACCAGTATGCAGTGGTGAAAATGATGCAGCATTGTTAGTCTATTTTTTTAGCAAAACACCTTTAGCTTTGTATTTTTGCAAGTAATAAAACATATGGATGGGCGGGGCCAGCATACAATCAGGCTGTTACTGGTACCAGAGGAATTGGAACTCTGCACTTGCTGCTGTAGATGTCTCAAATGCTATGATATTGGTTAGCTCATAACAAATAACTTATAACATATGGTACTTCGCTGGGAGCGGCGTCCGTGGCTAAGGCGTTGCGAGTCTGACTCGTAATCCAACGTACCACGATCGAAACCTGCGTGGGCTGCGTGGATTTTTATCGTGGTATGGGACGTCGCAGGTCGACCCAGCCTCAAATGGGTACCAGGATAGGCTGTCCTGGGAAAGTAAAGACGGCCGGCGTAATGCTGACCACATTACCCACCGAGTGCCGATTGGTCTGTAAAAATATGGGTGCTCTTCCCATATGCCCGATGCGCCTAAGGGCGTGTAAAGGGATCTTTACTTTTTACTTACTTCGCTGGGAATGATGCAGGTTACCCAAATTAGAGAAGATGGTACTTTGTACACAAATTAGAGGAGAAGGTACTTCACTGGGAATGATGCAAGTTACACAGATTAGAGGAGATAGTACTTTACTGGGAATGATGCAAGTTACACAGATTAGAGGAGATAGTACTTCACTGGGAATGATGCAAGTTACATAAATTAGAGGAGATGGACTTCACTGGGAATGATGCAAGTTACACAGATTAGAGGAGATGGACTTCACTGGAAATGATGCAAGTTACACAGATTAGAGGAGATGGACTTCACTGGAAATGATGCAAGTTACACAGATTAGAAGAGATGGTACTTCACTGGAAATGATGCAAGTTACACAGATTAGAGGAGATGGTACTTCACTGGGAATGATGCAAGTTACATAAATTAGAGGAGATGGTTATAGTTGTTGGTACCATGTGGTGAGTATATTATAGAGTGAGATAATAGAAAACGATTATTCACCCAGCGCATTTCATAATCTTATTTTCATTCTCCCTGCCAGCAGTTTTCAGGTGAGAAAGCTGCAGACTTCTATGAAGTCTGTGGTGTGACACATGTCTTCCACTGTTGCATGCAGCCTGGAAACACTGAAATACCAGTTGCCAAACCTGGGATCTCTTTACTCTTTTTGTAGCAAGCATGTCTGTGTAATGCATTTTAAAACTCTTTCCCTCACACTTTAACAAATATCTCCAAAAAAAATCTGTACAAATCAGTATGATTTTGGCATGTGATTTCCCATGTCCTTATGATTTTATAATTTATAATTGCACAGGTGCTGCTGGTTTCTTAAAGCAGCAAATATCTTTGATCTTTGTTTTACTAATAATTTCTGTAAACATAAAAAATAGAATATAAAGTAACTGACACACGCTTGGAGATTGTTTAGATATCACTTAACATGTGCAGCGATGAATGCTGATTGTTTTGATAGCCTCTCCCGAATACAATGAAAAATCCCGTAACTCACGAGAGACTAATGCTAGAGGTAACTACCTGAGAGGGAAATGGATTCTAATGGTTGCCTTGATCTGAATTTTAGTTTCCCCATAAGTGCATCCTGAATCTGGCTATTCTTCGTTACTTCCAGCTGCTGCAGAGTTGCCTGCTCTTTCATTTCCCCTAATGTTGCAGTGACCTGGGATCTACTGGAGCACTGTCTGCTTGATGAGCTGACCCATTTAATGATGAATGTCTCTTCATGTCCATACATGCTATTTTGGCTGTTTTCATACAGTTTCAGGTTCAAGTCCCATGAATGAGAGACCAAACCCTAGCAAACTGGAATTCATGCCAAAATCAGACTTCAGTAAGTAGATGATAAATGGGTATCTGTGATGAAATAGTTTAATTTTTTGCTGGCCCTCATACTTACATATCTGTGACTTTAAAATGTAGCCTAACATCATAGGCACCAGAACATGGGGGTTCATATCCTCTGAGACTGCCCCACCCAGTACTTTTGTGAAAACTCAGCCCCCCGCAATACTTTAAAATAATTTGAAAAGCACTACCCCCCTCCCCCATGTTTTCTTTGTGGTGGTATGCTTGTTTGACTTTACTGCAGACAGATTATTGTTATATTCTGCATATTGCTGTATTCTGCATTTGTTTGATTGCTGTATTCCCCATGTGGGTTCCGGGACATCATTGTGGGGGAAAACAAGAATAGATCAACTGCCTACCCAAAAACATGTCGTAAGAAGAATCAACTAATTGAGAGCTTCCTTCGAAGTTGGAATGCATCTACCTGAGAGGCAAGGAACCAGCAGTTTACATACAGTTGAGTGAGATCTGTAAAACGGATGTGCACACAACACTCAGATCCTAGAATAGTGCTAGAGTCCAGAAAAGGATGAACAACCAGAACTTTATGATGGTGTTTGAAGCCACTGATCGTGAAGAAGAAAAAGAATTGCTCTATTTTGAACTGGACTGCAGCAGATGTTTCTTCTGTCTAATGGCAGAATGTAATAAGTGGAGAGACATGTTTAAACATGCTTCCTGTAGCTTCTTTTGATGCCTTTCATCTTCCAGTGGAGCATAAATCTTCCACCCACTCACACCAAGCCTTTTTGCATGTTTGTCCATGATTAGTTTAATTAATTAGTAAAATGTTGACAGCAACAGTCCTGAAATCCCATGTTATAATTGTGGGAGACTTCTCTCAACCTGCGCGGGTTTTGCTAGTCACACTCGCCATCGTCATAGACTGTGAGTCCCATGTCTCCTCATAGCGCAATATAACACTATCGTTTGGAAAGATGGAAAGGTGCCAATCAGTCATTCCAGTCATCAGTTTAATTTCACTGCTAGTCTATAGGATGAACTGGTCTCACACTAACCATCCTTAGTCATTGTTTACCGCACATTGAGTTACACTGTTCTTTGCTTCCCATATAGATCAAACAAATGAATAAACTTTATTTTCTAAGGGTTAAGAAATGCTTGACTGACTCATATTCTGCCCCTTTGAACTCACACCTAGAAATTAAAACACAACACAATAGTAATGTTATTTTTGTTTACACTCACAACATATATGCTAATCATGAATGTCTATTGGTATGGACTTATGCCCTCATGATAAACAATTGCAGAAATGCCTCTAGCTTCTATCACACTCATAATTCATGTCGGTACTGTTAAATTTGTTTTGTTACCTGACTAAAATTATACAGATGATGAAAGTAACAAAGAAAACATCTGTTTCAATACAACTTGGCAATATACCAAACATTAACGTCAAGGTGAAAGTAGACTCAGAAACTAATAAACCGATTTAGCTAAAATGTTCAGGATATGTTTGTTTTGATACCGGAATTCTACCTGTGATGGGTTGAAAAAATGGCAACATTTGTTGAGAATATTTTTGAAACTAATATTTTCATTTTAATGACATTTAATTAAAGCCATGTTCATGAATGCGCACGCGCAGTAGTCGAAACGCACAACTTCCACCATTCACCAGCGTGGTACAGCAAACCAGACTATCTCTCTATCTGCGCAGGCATTGATTGCGCCATTAACCATATTAGACAGGATTTCTGTTTTTTTCCCTTTACAAACAACCTTTGATGAGCTAGAGAGTAGTCAGTGGATTTGAGAAGCCGGGGGAGGGGGAGGGGTGGGGGAGGGGGGGGACGAAGACTATCTCTATGTCTGCGCAGACAATGATTGCGACATTAACCGTGTTAGACACCTTCGATTTCTATTGTTGTGCCGTTTCAATAATACTTGAAGTTTATATCTGGGATATCTGTATGTGAGAAAAAAATTGCCTGTGGTTGTGAGTTGTGATAGAATCAGGTCAACAGTAGTCAGGACCCACATCTCAAATAGTTTAGTTCTCTTTTTGTTGGTTAGAAGGTGTGGTTCATTGGCTGAACGGTTAGAACACTGGGCTCCCGTGTGGGAGACCAAGGTTCGAATCCCCAGTGCAGCATTTGTTTTGTTGTTTGTTTTTTTAACCTGGGAAAAAAATTATCTCTGCACTGTCGTGGCGACAGCACTGGCCATGCAGCCCTAAATACTAAAAAAAAAAGTACAGGTTTGTGGGTAAACCAGTTAATTAAATTTGACCATTTCGCATACTTATGATTTCATTTCAATCTTTCCGATTGCATGGTTACGTTATATTTTTTATATATTTCCATTTATTTTCATTTTGATTTAATTATTTCATCTGACATTATGTTTGAATTAGGCTGTGTTGTTTACCATAGCATTCATTTCGTAATTGTGGTGTATTTTTCCTGTTTTCGTTGCTTTTCACCTGTTTTTATTCTCCCAACTACTTTGAGGAGGGAAAGAGTAGTCGGTGAATGGGAGGGGGGGGGGTGTTTCATAAAGTTTATGATAAACTGTTGACTGGTAACTGCCTTGCCCACTCAAAGTCGCAGTAGTAGTAGTTGTTGTTGTTGGGCGGTTACCCCGTAGTGCTGTCATGCCAGAGACCGCCAGTACGGTGATGGTGTTTTTCTGTCAGGTAGCGAAATTACACATCCTAACCTGACCAGTCCGTGGCGATAGCACTAGCCATGTGGCGCCAAATCTTCTGGCTCATGACTCCCTTTCTACTCCAGTGGTAAAACATATAGCAGTGACATTATTTTGGTTATTGTGTTGGTGGTAGTTGTACTGGTATTTTAAAGATGTTGTGGTAAATATTACACTAGCCGCATTTACTACTCATTACAATTCCTGCTCCCCATTTTAGTCCAGATGGACAGGGATATCAAGGTCAGTTACAAAAAATATCATCAGATGATGACTTTCAAATCCTTTGAAGAGGGAGAGAACAGTATTCGGTGGATGGGGGAGGGGGTGATGACAAGAATTGTTAACTTAAAGAGCTCGCACACGATTTTAAAGTTTTAATTTCTTGATTTGTTTATATTTTACTAACGCTACCTCCGCTATTCTCATTTTTTTTTAAAACTTACTTAGTTATTTACAAGTAAGCTTTACTTCCGTCTCTTATAAAAATACAAACAGCTTTAGCATGTGATAACCAAATAAACAATTTTTTACTGCGCTAATAATACCATTTAAACGACCACTAATATAAAGACACAATTATTTGTTGCATGTTCTGAAGTCAGCAAACCAGACTATCTTTATATCTGTGCAGACAATGACTACGGTTGCTTTTTAGCTTTGCATGCAAAAAGGGAAATGAATGAGAAGGAAGGCACATACATTACAGTGCAATCAGTAGTTTTGTACAATGTGCTGTTTCAGATTATGACGTCAGCAAACATCGAATTGTGTGTACACAGCTGCCTTCAGTACCAAAGCATTTCTCTGATGAAGAGAGGAAGCTGTATTTTGCATCATTGCTGGGATTGGACAACACATGCATGGTAATCAAATATAATTAACCCATATTTTTTTCTTTTGCTGTTTATTCTCCAGGGGAGCATAGATCTTCAGCCTTCTTGTGCCAACCTGTGCTGATTTGATTTGATTCAAGAACCGACATCACTCGACGCATTCCCATAAGTGCTCCGTCCCCATCTTCAGCAGCCAGTAAAGAGTTCCGATACTTATGGTGCCAGTAGCCTTCTGATTAAGATTAAAGGTCCGTCTTGCCTTTCCTCTGAGCTCAAGCATCTGCCAGAACCTCTCGTTACTCCCCTCTGCATCAATCTCACCAGACTGTGGTGATCCATCTGCTCCTCCGAACTGTACACGCTCTCCCACAAGGCACTAACCACGTCTGCCTTATCATTAATCAGTATTCCACCAAGATGTGCAGAGCCAGCCAGTCTGTCCGTGTGTTCATTTCCCAACACACTGGCATAACATGGTGAAAAAATCCAAACAGTACTCCTTACCCGTGTCCTCCGCAGCGAAGCATGCCACTCTGCATGAAGCATGCCTGTCCTGATCTTCCTCAGCATGCTTTCTGAGTCAGTTACAATCACGATGTGTGTGTGTGTATGTCGTGTTCTCTAACCAGCAGAAAGCTGCAGTGACTGCCTCCACCTCCATTCTTAAGCTGGATGTTGTGGTATCATGTGCATGGCTCTCCTGCACCAAACGTCGACCATTAACTTTTGCCCCAAGCACTTCTTTTGCCTCTTGTCACTGAACCGTCTGTGTAAATGATCAGATCCTCAGAGCGAATATTATCTTGAAATAATTGCTGAATTTGCATCTCCATGGCACCTGCTGGCCAGTCTCTGCATTCCCGGCTCAGTGTGATTATGACCATACATGTCTGACTGTTCAGGTGGCACTTTGACCCACTCCTCTGCTCGCCTAATGTTTTCAAGTATGCAAACCTGTGTAATTGTGTCTTCTGCCTGAGCCATCCATGACTTCCCTCTTATCAGTCGCTGACCCTTAACTGCACCAGAGCTTCGTGCAAGGGTTGTCTGTGTCTGCAGCTACCCTGAGATATGACTTCACCTGCAGCACCTTGTGCCAACTTGCAACAGTCGGCAAACCAAGGATGTATCGCATACACACCACTGGGGTGTCTCTGATGCAACCCAGAATGACCCGCATAGCTGCCTTCTGACCATTAACTAGAAGAGATAGCAGTACTAAACAGATGGTGTAATAGGATGCAGAAATTGAGTGCTGGCATTTGGATCTTCAGTGCAGGATATCTTTTTCTTCTTCTTTGCATTCATTGGCTGTAAACTCCAGCACAAAGCTCTGTTGTTCAACTACTTCTGGACTTTAGTCTGGTTACCTGAGTACAGGATATTTGTGGGAAGAGCAGTATTTAAAAATATGCCTACCTAGGCAGGCTACATGTTACACTGGAGTAATACCTGGTGTAGCCTTTATGGGTGTCTCAGTTTGTATATTCTTAGGTGGTTGTGGTATCTGGAGGTTGTGGTATCTGGAGGTTGTGGTATCTGGAGGTTGTGGTATCTGGAGGTTGTGGTATCTGGAGGTTGTGGTATTTAGAGGTTGTGGTATCTAGAGGTTGTGGTATTTGGAGGTTGTGGTATCTAGAGGTTGTGATATTTGGAGGTTGTGGTTTCTGGAGGCTGTAGTATCTGGACATTGTGATATTTGGAGGTTGTGGTTTCTGGAGGTTGTAGTATCTGGACATTGTGGTATCTGCAGGTTGCAGTTTCTGGAGATTGTGGTTTCTGGAGGTTGCGGTTTCTGGAGATTGTGGTATTTGGAGGTTGCGGTTTCTGGAGGTTGTGGTATCTGGAGGTTGTGGTATCTGGAGGTTGTGGTATCTGGAGGTTGTGGTATTTAGAGGTTGTGGTATCTAGAGGTTGTGGTATTTGGAGGTTGTGGTATCTAGAGGTTGTGATATTTGGAGGTTGTGGTTTCTGGAGGTTGTAGTATCTGGACATTGTGATATTTGGAGGTTGTGGTTTCTGGAGGTTGTAGTATCTGGACATTGTGGTATCTGCAGGTTGCAGTTTCTGGAGATTGTGGTTTCTGGAGGTTGCGGTTTCTGGAGATTGTGGTATTTGGAGGTTGCGGTTTCTGGAAATTGTGGTATCTTGAGATTGTAATATCAAGACATTGTAGTATTTTGAGGTTGTGGTATCTGGAGGTTGCCCTTTTGGTTTGCCAACCAGATGAAGAATGTGACTCTTGAAGATGCAAGGGTGGTCAGAACTTTTAGTGGCAGCCTAGAGGAGAAGAACAGACAAAATTGTTTTTAAATTGCTTGGATATTCTTTCTTGTAGAACTCAGTACAGTTACCAGGTTTATGACTGTCAACAGTGGATATATTTCGTTCACAGGTGCGTTCATTAGGTGGTCTTCTGAAATACCTGGACAAGATGAGAGTGGGGGTGGAGCTGGAGGATGTAGCCATTCAGGTGCCTGTACTTGGATTTCAGGTGTTTACTTTGTAAGTGATTAACCCTTTCAGGACGACATCTTCTTCTTCTTCTCTGCCGGAAAGTTGTAGTTGTTCGTCCACTTCAGGAATCTAGTCCTGTCACAGAAACTGAGCGTTGTGGGCACATCCGTTTCACAAGTCTGACTCATTTGCATGCAGAATGTTGGTTCCTTGCCTCTCAGGCAGATGTACTATGACCTCAAAGTTAGTTTCCAGTTAGTCGACTCTTATGACATGCTTTTGGGCAGGCAGTGGGTCTATTCTTGTTTTCCCCACAATGCGGTGCCAGAACCCACTTGGGGAAGGACAACATTTTTTTTTCTGGAGTTTGGACAGCATTAATTTTGAATTGAATTTGTTTACTATAGCATGACAAAGCTAAGACTTTCCTGAAGAAAAAGATATTGGCTGTATAGTGACATATAATTTTTGACAACCTAAAATTAAAGAGATATGAGTACAGAATACATCTAAACTATTTAATTGTCAATATTACAACAAAATATTGAAATAACACAACATTCAAGGATGTTAGACTCAGGTGGAGAATTTTTACACGTTGAAATGTTGTGCTTACCTTACTTTTATTACTTGTTCAGCAACACTACTGTCCATTCTAAGATTTCATATGTCTTCTCTCTTCGGTTGTGCATCAACTAGTCTTTATTTGAAACAGCTTTAGATTTTTGTATGACATGAAATTTCACAATCGATTGAAATATTTTGTTCAAATTCATCTTAACCTATCTTATCTGCAACAGATTTGGCACTTGCACTAATAGTCATAATATCAAGACTATTGTCACTAATCTGGCTCAGATTAATCAACAACAGTAACAATATGGATAGTTCAAGAACATTGTCCTTATCATTTGGTCTGGAAAATCGCATACAAATTTGATCACATTGAATAAATTAAAAACAACTCAAAAATCAAACCTATCTGAACGTCTGAAAAACAAGAATACTTCTTTTTGCTAATTCTAGTTTTTCAAAACATGTTCATTTACATTTATTTTCCTAGCAAACAAAATAATATTAGAGTGTCTACCCGTGAAGCCAATTAAGTGGTGATCCGTCCAAACATGATGGTTTCAGAAGCTACCAAAGTGGTGATACGTCCTCAAAGAGTTAACAGAAGGATATGAATAGAACTAATGTTTAAATAACAATAGTATAAATCGCTGATCGAGTGGTTAAAATGCTGGGCTGTCATCCAAAAGACCTTGGTTGATCCTTGGTAAGGGATAGAGATTTATACTGATATGGGCAAAAATAAGAATCCTTTTTCACACAGCTTGGAATGACTGCACTAACCGTGCACCTTACATTTTCATGCTGTTGACCCCTCCGTCTTGCTCCACCCTAAAGATGGTAAATACAGGAAGTACATACAGTGTTTTAAATTAAAAAGAACACTGGATGTTCATTGTTATTTTATTAACTTCTTTAGGTATAATTTTGGTAGTCGGGGAAATAAAAAGAAAAAAATTACGCCATGCCTTGGCAAGACAACAGCAGCTTTTAAAAGCCTCAACAAATTATGGAATTCTCAATGTTATAGTTTTAAAACCAAGTTACATATTTTGAAATTATTGTTATTTCAGTATAAACACATGGGATGAAAGTTAAATGCACTTCAAAACAAATGCCTGAGTAAAATGTTGAACTTAAAATGTAATAAATTCAGGAGGGTGAAGAAATAATAGATATGTCTGGGAAACCACTGTTATCAACAGTTATAAGGCAAAGAAAATGGCTCTGTATTGGACACATCCTGAGAAGAAACATGCAGAGAATCACCAGACAGGCACTAAAGTGGGAAATTAGGGGATTGAAGAGGTGAGGAAAATTATCTATGTCCAATTTTGATGAGTCTATGTTGACTCCCAGACCATGGGGTTTGTTAACCACATCCTACCTTGACGAGAGTTTAAACCCAGATGCTACAGAGCCAGCAAGTGAATGTGCTAGTTTATTGGTTATCTTTGTAATTTTAGATGATTTTTCTGTAGTTTGTGCAGTTATTTCAACCTTTTATTTATTAAAAGTGTGTTGTACAAGAATTATGCTTCTATCAATCCTAAAGGGAAAATCAAGTCTATGTAGATATGAGGACTTACCTGGCACTCAACATATTCAGCACAGAGCTTCACCCTTCTGTTTATAAATATGGAGCCACAAGCAGCAAGGAAGGCTTAAGTCTCTTTGGTAAGTACTATTTTCTGTTAACATTTAGTCCTAAGAAATGCATACCAAGGGACTGGTTTCCTCTACGGTGAGTCTCACCAATCACATAATGCATTATTCTAGATTTGTCACATGGCCAAATTTGAAGATAAATAAATGGGCTATTACAAAATATTTATCTTGAAAATTAAAATTCATTCAATAACACAAGTTGCAAATTAATTGAACTGTAGTTCAATTTGTGCATAAATCTACTCAATAATAATTGTTAACACCGACCGGCCACCGCAGCTTCACGAAAAGGAGAATACCTGTTTAAGCTGTATGGCCTTATATCTGGAGCTGGCCGTGATTTGTCATTACAATTCAGAACATACAAACACAATCTGGCTTTTGCAATAGCCAACTTCAACCTATGAATACTCTTTCTAAGGAATTCTCATATTGTTTTATAGAGGTTGCTTACTTACGAGGTCACCATCATCATCATCAAGTGCCCTGCCAGATGGCGTAGGCATTTATGCGTCGCCACAGATCTCGGTCGTTGGTGTTCTGAATCAATTTCACTGATGTTATTTCTCCATGCCACTGTCTTAAGCCATCCACCATCGTTTCTCTTGGTCTGCCTCTGCCTCTTCTATTAGTGATCTTCCCAGTCGTCACAATATTTTCCAGTGCTCCTTTTCTCATCACATGACCAATAAACTTTGTCTCCTTATCATTGTTGTATATATTGTTGTATATAATTTTCTACTTTCATTAGCCATTTCCAGGCATGTAGTTGGTTATTCTGGTAGTCCAAGGTATTCTCAACATTCTTTTCAAGAACCATATCTCAGTTGCCCCCAGTCTCTTCTTGTTTCCTCACATTCCAAGATTCACTACCATACAACAAGAACAGATTTGATATAACATCTCAGTTTTCATCTGATGTTTAATGAGAGTGATTTTCTTTACATAAAATACTTGTTATCTTCTGAAAAGCTGCCTTTGCCTGGCCAATTCAGCTCTTAATTTCTGTCACACAACGTCCATCTGATGTTATGAATGTTCCCTAATACTTGAATTTATTAACTTGGTTAAGCACTTCTATTGTTATGTCACATTTTGGAGTTATTGTCGTCTGCGATGTAACTGTTGTTTCTGTTTTCTTGATAAAAAACGCAACTGCGCCTCCACCTAGTAGAGGATGGGCAACACACCATGGTGTGACAAACACAGCTCTGGGGACCGAGTATCCACCTGAATAAGTGGACAACTCTGCAGCTGAGCAGAACAGGGCACTCACTTGTCCTGACGGTTGGAAATAACTGTCAAAGACCCCTAGGTGGATGTGGAAGGCAACGGGAAACCAACATACTATTTTCCCAAGCATTCATAAAAAGTTACAGATTCAGTTCAGTGAACTATGTTAATGGATGTCTTCAGACAGCCTCGTCCAGTATGGACTTACATTGACATCAGCTGCAAATTCTGTTTGGGACTTGAAGAGTTAATTGATGAAGAATGTGCAGGCCAGCAGGGTTTTTTAATCATCGAAGGAAAATAAATATATTAGCAAGGTTATTGGCCTGTTTCTCCGGGTGTGAGATGACCTGTTTCTCTGGATGTGAAATGACCTGTTTCTCCGGGTGTGAGATGACCTGTTTCTCCGGGTGTGAGATGACCTGTTTCTCCGGGTGTGAAATGACCTGTTTCTCCGGGTGTGAAATGACCTGTTTCTCCGGGTGTGAAATGACCTGTTTCTCCGGGTGTGAAATGACCTGTTTCTCCGGGTGTGAAATGACCTGTTTCTCCGGGTGTGAGATGACCTGTTTCTCCGGGTGTGAGATGACCTGTTTCTCCGGGTGTGAGATGACCTGTTTCTCCGGGTGTGAGATGACCTGTTTCTCCGGGTGTGAGATGACCTGTTTCTCCGGGTGTGAAATGACCTGTTTCTCCGGGTGTGAGATGACCTGTTTCTCTGGGTGTGAAATGACCTGTTTCTCCGGGTGTGAGATGACCTGTTTCTCCGGGTGTGAGATGACCTGTTTCTCCGGGTGTGAGATAATAATATGCTTTTCTTGCGTAAAAAGTTGCATTGGTAAATTTTACTTGTTGGCACAGCACTTTTATGTGATTTGTGTGTGTGTGTGTGGATGAACCTGAAGCTCTTTATAGAATATTTTGGATAAGACTGAAGCTCTTATTTGATATTTGGGATGAAACTGAAGCTCTTAATGGGATATTAAGGATACGATTTGTCCTTTTGTGATATGTTGGACATTCTTCTTCTTCTTTGCATTCGGTTTCGTTTGCTCTGATCAGATCATCAGGTGGGTTGCCTCTATGAACTCGCATGTCAGTAGCAGGTTTTTCATGGTTCCCCATAGCTTGCTGTGCACACTTTGCTTTTGAGGCCAGACATCTTTTCAGATTTGTAGGTAGAGTTGGCAGGTCTGCAGAATGTGCTCAGGAATTTGCGATTCTGTTTGACATGCACAATGCGGGGACTGTACAATCTTTATTTTATGCAAGTTGTTGTTGAGCCTGCAGTGTCCTATCTGTAGATGGAAAATTGTTGTATGTTGCTTTCTGTTGACTCTGCTGATGGGGTCTTGTGGATGTTTACTGTTGGTTTGTTCTATTCACAATTCCTTGTATTTTCCTTTGATAAGTGTTCTAATTTCTGGTAATGACAATTCATTGGTGTGTTGTTTCTCCTTTGTTCCATTTTTTGCAAGTCTGTCTGCTAACTCATTTCCTGGTATGCCGCAGTGAGCCAGGATCCACTGGAGAACGATTTGATTGTTTTCTGCGAGTCTGTTTAGCTGGCAGGTCAGTTCTCTCTCCATGTTGTCTCGTGGATCCCTCTGAGTCGCCTGGAGGACTGACATGCAGTCACAAAAGAAAAAGGTTTGCTGTTTTTAATTTTTCTTTTCTCAAGCACTTTGGCTGAATCAATAATTGCTTTGCTGCTCTGCTCTGAAGTTTGTTGAGAGTCTTCCAGAGGAGCATGATGTTTCTACTGTGGTCCCATCTTGCAACATCATAACGGATCCAGCTCTTCCTTTTTTTTTTCTGCTGCCTCCAATGATTCATCAGTGTATACATGTGTCCATCTTTATCTTTATCTTTAAGTTATTTGCTATTCTGTGCATGGGGTTGTTGTTCATGCATTTACATTTCTGTTAGGGTAAGCACTTTTTCTTACCTTTGAAGGCTCAAACTCCAGAAGTTGCCTCCAGCTCATGGATTGGTCTGCTTCTCACACCTCCAGTGATAATTCTGAGACCAATGTTCTGTATTTTGTCCAGTTTGTGTAGGTTTGATTTGGCTGCAGTGGAGTATGCTCCCATGCCATACTCCAGTTTTGGTCATATGTATCCTGTCTATACTTATCGTACAGTGTTGGTTGGCATCTGCACCCCAGCTTGTTTCAATAAATTTTTTAAGTCTGAGCCGCAGGGTAGCTTTCTTTTGGGTGTCTTCAATGCGGGTGCCCCAAGTTAGCCTTTTGTCTAATTTTACTCCCAAAAATGTGGGGGTTGTCCTCTTTTAGAAGGATGTTGCCTTCTAGGTACAGATCAACTTGTTCTGGCTTTGCGGATAGAGAGATGGTTTTGTTCTAGTTTATTGTGACTTCCCAAGAGTCTGTCTATTTTTTAACTGTATTTATAGCTTCCTGCATTCTTGTTTAGTTGTTCCTATATGTTCTGCTTGGGTTCATATGGCCAGGTCATCTGCATGCAGGGCCTTGTGAATGTGAGTCATGGGGGATGAAACTAAAGCTCTTCTTGGGATATCTGGGATGAGAATAACGCTCCTTATGTGATATTTGGGTGGAAACCGAGCAATTCATGGGATATTTGAGATGGGGTTGAAGCTGTTTATTATTTGATATTAGGGTTGGAACTGAAGCTCTTTATTTGATATCTGGGATGAAGATTAAAGCACATCTATGGAAGAAGAATAAAGCACTTATATATATATATATATATATATATATATATATATATATATATATATATATATATATATATATATATATATATATATATATATATATATATATAAAACTGTGTGCAGTAAAAGTTATCATTTACCCACCAAGCTTACCATTTTAGTTCAGGAAGACTGGGAAGCTAATAATGATAGCCAGTACTATCAAAGCTTAATGGTGACGTAACTTATATTGAACCTTTTGTTTCAGTTTGTCTTGGTTGTGTATTTCAATATCCTCTTTATTACCAGTTCTGCCCTCAATAAATAAAAGTTAGCTGCATATGCTGTTCAAAGATGTCACAAACTAACCCCAGCATTTGTTGACTTTCATGGTTTTACTAAGCAGTTTTATGTTCAGTAGTTTGCCATAGCCATCTGAATGGATGACGCTCATACTGTTTTTTTAAATTAATGTACAGCAGCCTGCTGATAAAGTGCTTAAGGCTTCATCAAACTCAACATATCAAAATAATAAATCTATGCTCATAACCCCAAAGCCACAGATGCCTCACTACAGTTTTGAATATTAGTGATATTTACCTTTAAACTTTAAAAGTAAATTACAGTTGAGTAAATCTAGCACTGAAACCTTACATATTTTACCCATTATTGTTACATACAGAAGGTAAATATATTTGTTGTTGACTGGCTTAATATGTTACTTTTCTTAACCAGGAATTTTAAACAGATGCAAATCTTCGATTGGGAGTAAAATGTTACGGTAGCAGAACTGAGAAACTTACCGTATTGATTCTATTAATGTTTATGTTCTTTCTTGTTGATACATTTAATTTGTTTGATTATGATGGACATGAAATCTTTCAAGTATAGCTCTTTGAGTCCCAAGGAACGCATCATACGTTCACATGTTTCTACCTAGAAGTCCAATGAACGCATGATGCGCCGATTTTATGACTCTCTTTACTACCCCCTGGGCCTGTGATGCTCAACCCCCTGGGACTCAAAGAGTTAATACTAGTTTTAAATACTGTTTAATGCAATTTCAGCTGATTGTTTTTTTTTTCTTTTTTTTTAAACTTTCTGTAATTTGTATAATTGTATTTGTTACTGAGAAGTTTATTGACACAGTTTGAAAGTTCTTCCCATGTGGATTCTGGAGTCTCATTTTTATTATGGGTGGGGGGTGGGGGTTGGGGGGGGGGGGAAATAGATCTACTGCCCTTAATGAGTATGTCGTAGAAGGTAGCTAATAATGGCTTTGCCTAGACTGCATGATTTGGACCCAGATATGTAAGCTCGCTGCCTGGGTGTAAACCACAACACAATGTGCCAACCATTTGTTTTTTGTTTTATTTGAGGGTGAATGCAGAAGAAGAATAAAAAGAAGAAGAAGCAGCAGAAGCTGAGAAAAAAGAAACAGAAAACAAAGAAGAATGTTTAAAGTTCATTGAAAATGTTTAACTATATTTCATGATATTTCCTGGTCACATGATGTCAAATGCTGGGCCTGGCGGCACAGCCAGTCATGTCCCTTGCTCATCTTTACAATATGCTTTGATAAGTTACACTGCCCTCACCTTTTTCTGTACATCTCTGTCTAATCCTCCAGGAGCTTATCCCTCGGTCACTGCATGTCTTCAAGACCATCATCATCCAGCTGTGTCATTATACATCACACAGTGCTCCTTGTTTAGTCCTCAGTTCCACTCTATCTTATGCAATCCTTTCCATATCATAGATGGAGTCTAGTCCAACACCTTTGCCCTCTCTTAACAGCATGTGCCTTAAGGTTTCTCTTGGACATCATTTTCTCAGTCCATTTGTTTCCTGTTTCAGTGCTTGTTTGTTTGTTCTTTTTCTGTGTCTTCTCGTGACATCACAGGTCACATTATTTTCCAACACTGTATTTTCATTATGTATGTTCTTTTTAAATCACAGCTGTTTTGCACTAGTTTGTATAAGTTAGTAATATAGTTGAGAAGTCAAAATTGTTTGGCCATGTTATAACTGGTTGATGTCAGTTTCAGAATATGTTGGTTTGACTGTGTTAAGACTAGCATATTAATATCATTAGTTGATGTTAGTTTGAGTGTGTTAAGACTAGCAAATTAATATCATTATTTGATGTTAGTTTCAGTAGATGTTGGTTTGAGTGTATTTAGACTAGCATATTTGATATCATTAGTTGATGTTAGTTTCGGTAGATGTTTGTTTTATGTGTTAAGACTAGCATATTAATATCATTAGTTGATGTTAGTTTCAGTAGATGATTTGTTGACCTTTTATCATCATTGTCCTCATCATCATTGTCTTCATCATCTTCCTTTGACCTGATGGATATTGAAGACAATTATGTCTCTCCATGTATCTAATTTGTTTATATTAGTTCTGGATCAGTTCTAGTGCTAATTTCTATAATGATCTTAGACATTCTACCAAAATATCTCTTCATCTACTTCTGACACTTCTGCTATTAAAATAATCCATTATCTCAGATTGACCAATTCATTCATTCATTCAGTAGCATGTCCGTCGCGGAACCTCGCTGCCATAACAACACTCCGGAAAACCTTCCTATCCTGAGCAAGATGTCCTGCGTCTGATACACCCATCTGGAGATCATCTGCCACATCCTGCACCCATCTTCTCCTTGGCCTTCCTCTTCCTCTCTTCCCAGGCATATACCCCTCCATTATTGTTCTCTCTAGACTTCCATGACGTTTCAAGTGACCAAAATATTTCAATTTTCTTTGTTTTATTGTCTTTACTAGCCAACCCTCTTCAATATTCAGCTCTTGAAGTATGGATGCATTTGTTCTTTTCTTTACCCAAGATATTCTTAGAACCTGTCTGTAACATTTATATTCAAATGCATTTATGCGCTGTTCCGCTTGTTTAGTAAGTGTCCAGGTCTCACAGGCGTATGTTGCAATGGGAAAGATGCATGCTCTTAAAAATCTGACCTTTGTAATTCTATCTGTACAATTCCATAATTTATTCAGTTGTTTTAGTCTTTGAAGAGCAATTGATAGTCGCCGTTTAATTTCTTTCATTGTGTCTTTATTGTTGGTAACCAGTGACCCAAGATATTCGAAATTTTCCACCACTTCCAATCTTTCCTCATTAACATATATTTCCTTCTCCATGGCAGTTTTGTTTGTATGCATTATCTTTGTTTTTGCTATGTTAAGAAATAAGTTATGATTTTCACTATTTCTTTGGAGTGAGGTTAATAAGTTTTCTAAACCATTTTGTGATGTTGATAGTAATACTGTATCATCAGCATAACGAATTTCTGGTATTTCATGACCACCGATGTTTAGGGCATCATATTGTTCCTTGTTTATATCATCTCTTACATTTCTCATTATATTTTCGGCGTACAGGTTGAACAAATACGGTGACAGCACACATCCCTGACGGACTCCTTGCTTGATGCCAAACCAGTCTGATGTCTCTCCATCTATTCTGACTGCTGCTTGTTGGTCTTGATAGAGCATTTTAATGAGCTGCACTATATGTGATGGAAAGCCCATATTCCTCATGATTTCCCAAAGCTTCTGATGTTGTACACAGTCAAATGCTTTTGAATAATCCACAAAACATAAGAACAGATTTACATTAAATTCTCTACACTTCTCTATTATTAAACGCATGTTGAATATATGATCTCTTGTTTCTCTTCCCTGTCTAAATCCAGCCTGAGCTACATTAATCTCTTCTTCCATTTTCTTATGCAGTCTTCTCATTATAATTTTTAGTAGAATTTTACTTGCATGACTGATCAGGGCAATAGTTCGATAGTTTGTACATAATTTCAGGTCACCCTTTTTTGGTATTGGAATGAAGATAGTTCTCTTCCAGTCTTTTGGCCAAATACCATATTTCCATATCTTTTCACATAATGCATAATAGATTTTTATGCTTTCTTCTCCTCCCGCTTTAATCAATTCAGCTGGTATCTCGTCACATCCAGGTGATTTACCATTTTTCAGGCTCCTTATTGCCCATGAAATTTCATCTAATGAAGGTTCAGGTTCTGCCTCTACTGTTACTGGTTCATGTATATCATTCATATCCTCACTGTCATTCATATCATACATTCCGCTGCAGTATTCCTGCCACCTTCCTAGAATTTGTCTAGATTCTGTTAAAGTATTTCCCAACCTGTCACAAATAACATTTAACTGAGGTTGAAAATTTCTTGTCAATAACTTCATTTTCTTGAACATTTCGTAATCTCTTCCATTTTTATTATGCTGCTCTATTTTAATACAGCAATCTTGTACATACTGATTTTTATCCTTTCTTGTGTACTTTCTTATTTCTCGTGTTAAAAATTTATACTTCATCCTACTGTCATTGGTTTCTCCTTTCTTTTTCAGTTCCCTTCGTTGTTTTATTAGTTCTAACGTGTATGGTGTGATCCATGGTTTATGTTGCTTAGTCCTGGTGGGTATTAAGTCTTTAGCTGCTGTTATCAAGATATCCCTAGCTTGTACCGCCAGTTCATCAGGTGTCATTCCCTCTTGTACAGACATCAAGACCTCAAAACGGTTCTTCACTTCTACGTTGTATGCATCTGGTATTTTTGTGAGATCAAATCGAAATGGCCTTGGTCCTCGGGTAAGCTTTTTGAGTTTTAATTTCAGATCTGCTTCTAGTAACTGATGATCTGTATCGCAATCTGCACTTCGCAGGGTTTTTGCAGATGTTATGCTCGATCTCCATCTTCTTTGTATTAAAATGTAATCTATCTGATTTTTGGTAACACCGTCAGGGGATGTCCATGTGAAAAGCCTTCTAGGGTGTTGTTTATAAAGTGTGTTAGCTATTGTTAATTCATTTTCTATGCAAAATTCAATCAATTTTTCTCCTGTTTCATTTCTATTACCCAATCCAAATTTTCCTAAAACGTGTCTCTCATTTTCAGCTCTGCCTGTACCTACTTTAGCATTAAAATCTCCCATTATTATTATTATATCATTCTGATTAATTTTATTTAATGTGTCTTGCAGTATGGCATAAAAATCTTCAATTTCGCCCTCCTCTGCTGTTGAAGTTGGTGCATATACCTGCATGAAAGTTATGTTTTTTGGACGGCCTTTAAGTCTTATAGTTAGGATTCTATCACTAACTGGATTATATCCCATAATAGCTTTTGCTGTTGTTTTATCTAAACAAAATGCCACTCCGCTCTGGCCTCTTACATCTCTACCAGAATATACGAAAAAGCTTCCATATTCATTGATAGAATGTCCCTTGCCACTCCAACGATGTTCACAAATTCCTAAGATCTGAATATTTAATCTTTCAATCTCATCACATACTACTTTAAGCTTTCCTTCATACAGACTTCTCACATTCCACGTTCCTATTCGCATTCTGTTTATTAGTCTGACACAGTGGATTTCCTTGGTAACACAGTCAGGATTAACTCCATCATCACGATTACTAGTACTGACCCCTGTATCACACTCTTCCCCAGTGTTATCTGATCTGTCTGGCCTGGGGGTCTCACCACCAGATCTCTTCTGTGTTATGTTTTCTTTCATGATTGTTATGGATTCTTGGCAAAATATGCAGAAGGTAGTTTGCCGTTGCTTTCCTCCTGAGCAGTGACTATACTAGTCGGTGGCCATAGCCATTGTCTCTACTAATGAGATCATCTGCCTATCGCCGCAGAGTGCAGACCATAACCAACAATACCTGTCGGCTGCTCTTACACTCCATCCACCACCTGCTTCCATGGCTTCACGTAACCCTGATTGGGGGGCTAAACGGGTACTCCACCTTGCCCAAGGGTGTCCCGTAGACTAGCGGAGGAAAGGAGGCGTCTTACTTCTCCTTTAATAGGGGATACCCCTACTCTTCTTAATACAGCATCAAAGTTATTGTTTGTCTCTGTCTTGTAGTTGCATATAAAGTTCTACTTCAGCTTTTTCTAGGCAATCATTGTTAGTTACATTGATTGTCTAAAATATACACAGCATTTGTTTCTTGTCTCTGCAACCTGCTTGCTTGCTTGCTTGCTTGTGTGTTTGAAAAAAAGATAAAACTTTGACCATGTTCAGCCCCGATTAAAAACACCTTGGACTATAACTGTAGTTTGGTTTTCTTTGTGCCAAGTTTAATGGCTTAAATAGTTTGTTGCGCCAAGAGTTTAAACTTACTTCCTCGGTTGTGTGTTGTGCAACCTCTAATCTCTTTTTTTTCTGTTCATTCACATTCAAAATGTCACTGCATCACAGCAAAAACAAGTTTGAAATAACACTTCACTACTCTCTTACATTTGGTGACAGGGACTTAATACATTCAGTGCAAAGACTTGCTACATTCAGTGAATGAGACTTATTACATTCAGTGAAACAGACTAATTAACAACTTCTGTTGGGCCTATGCTGCTCTGAATATTTCTCATACCTCCTCTTTCAAATATTAACATTGCTCTCAAATATTTGAATTTAATAGCTTTGTTAAGCTTTATCCCTTCTTTTGTAATTTAACATTTTAAGGTTACTGTTTTCTTTGAATTAACTTATGTTATTGTTTTCATGATTATCTGGGAGATTGTCTTGTTTTACATTTTCTGTTGCTTATGTCTAACATTTGTTATAAAATGTGTGCATTCTGTTTTTATTATTAATAAGGTCAGTGTAATCTTCATTATACAGATTCTATTTCAAGGAAATGAAAAAATGAAGAAAATTACTCAGAATTTATGAGCACATTTTTTTTTACTTCCACAGACAGTGGTTTCTCCGTCCCCTGAGAAATGCTTCAGTATTGAGACAAAGGTATAATGCAGTCTCATTCTTCCTCAAGCCAAGTAACATGGAAACAATGTCTTGCATTCAAGGCTGTCTGAAGCACATCAAGTACATCCCTGTATGTAGATTACAAAAACTCAGTGAATGTTTTTATTTTTTTTATTTTTAATGAACCACTTTTTAGCCCAAAGCAATGTGTGCTGCATGTATTCCAACCATCACTTGATGCCTTTAGTTGCTTTTGTGTGTGTGTTGTCAGAACATGCTACAGAAATCTGGCATATTGAGTTGTTTGATACTGAAAAAGATAATGATATTTTTAGTTTTGTTTTTAGTTCCATTTGTAGAGACAGTTATTGCCATGTTATTTTAGAGCTGTTTTAATAATTTTGAGAAATGAATAAGCAGACAGACTGGCTGGTTCTGCACTTTTTAGTTGGTAAACTGATGCATGACAAGCTGAACATTATCAAAGCCCACTGGAAGCTAAAGAACAGGGTGAAGGCACAAATAGATCATTACGGTCTGAAGAGACTGGTCCAGCTAGGAGTGACCAGATAATTGTTGATAATGAATAATGATATGATGATCAATGATTTAATTAACTTTATTTAGCCCTTTTCTAAGCAAATGTTACTAGTTACAGAAACACTGTCATGTACAGAAAATATATATCAAACGACTGTGTATGGACAGCATAGTTCCCAGAAGAATAGGCAGGAGTCAACCAATATGACAGTGAACACAAAGCATTTAAGCTGAGTTGAGAGCTGACGTCATAACACTGGAGACATTCCCATAAGTCCCCATCTTCAGCAGCCAGCATAGTTCCAGTTCTGATGGCACCATAGCAGTCAAATTGGATGTGCATCTTGCCTTTCCCTAGAGGGTTGGCCAGATCCTCTGGTCACTCCTAGCTGGACCAGTCTCTTCAGACCGTAATGATCTATTTGTTGCCTTCACCCTGTTCTTTAGCTTCCAGTGGGCTTTGATAATGTTCAGCTTGTCATGCATCAGTTTACCAACTAAAAAGTGCAGAACCAGCCAGTCTGTCTGCTTATTCATTTCTCAAAACACCTGAATACATTGAAGAAAATATGAAAAACAAATCAACCTAAAAAATTATGCTTGCCACTGTCTATGAAGCACACCTGTCTCCACCTTTCTCAGCATGCTTTGTAAGTCTGTTCTCCATGACATGTGTGGCTGATTTTCAGTCAGTGTAATCTGCACTTGATATCATCTACAGGGTATTTAAGAAACTCTACATATGAAAATACTTGGTAGAGAAACTGATGAAAGAGTGGGAGTCTTTCTCTGGTGGGCTGCTATGAGTGCAATATTTTGCAAATTTCTTGCTACAGGATGATAAATGGTTAATTTTAGATTTTCACTTCAGATGGTTACAGATTTAAATGTTATATTTTTCAAATATCTACATGGCACAAAAAGAATTTGTTAATTCAGTCAATTCTTCCATTTTTAAAAGGTGCTTATTGTATCCTAGACCCTCGCCTGCCAGTGCAAAGGTCCTGGGGTTGATTTCGCATGGGGTCTGATGTTTTCCCAAAACTGACCTTGGTTGACTGATCAACCCAACCTTAAATGGATACCAGGCAATGTCCTGGAAAGTAAAGGCAACCAGCCTGATTTCCACCACATAACCAATCATAACCTATTGTGTGCTTTTTTATTCTTCACATCCTTTTTTACCACTTCAGAGGTCAAGGGAGATATAAGGTTCTTCTTGCTCTTCTGGCTGCTTCGACCATAGACACATTGTACTGTTGTAGAGTTCCTCTGATGTTGTCTTTCCTTCATGTTCTTTGACTACCTAATGTCCTACATCCCTCTTCTCTTTTAGTTTATGCTTGTGAGGAATAGCAACACAGGTGAGTGCCGATAGGTCTATAAAGAAATGGTTCTAGCATCATTTGCCTGACTGGCATGAAAAGGGTCCTTTACTTTACATTTTTACTTAAAATGTATCTATCCTGTTTGTACAAATCAGCTACAGTCCCATAGAGGTTAGTTCACTAGCTTGCCAAAATAGTATTCTAGGTTCAATCCCCAACAGAGGCAGGATTTTTTTTTTCTGACCAGTACAGCTCTGGGGTCAACAAAACTTCATAAAAATGGCGGTCAGTTTTAGGAAAATTCAATGAATAGTCTGGGAGGAAAGAGTGGGGAGGAAAGGAATTATCTGCACCATCCTGTATGTTGTAGCCTACAGTATGTGAAGGATTAACACTTCTTAACCCGATACCAGTAACTACTATAAGACTTCCTTCACTATATATACTGTTTTTTTGTTTTATAAAAGATTTGTTGATTCAGGCTTAATTCTCTGTTATTTCCATAACATTATTTTACAAGTTATTCAGTTTTTCATTGCAGAGAATATTGTCAAAGATGTCAGCTGCACAAGCGACAATTGGAGATTGGACGGCTTTATCAAAAGTAAGTAATCCATATGTGAATGTTTCCTGACAGTGAGCAGTAATTTCATTTGCTTTTCATTTAGTGTTTAAATTTTCTTTCTTTAAAGGACTGTATGATAGTCATTTTCTGTTTTGTTAGAACCACTACAACAACATAATACCAACTGTTAGGTTGTTTGTGTGTCATGCTTTTTAGTATTGATGCAAGTGCGTCTTCATTTTATTTCTTCTCCTCCCATTCTTCCTTCTCCTACTTTCTCTTTATCTTCCACTCCCTCTTCCTGCTTCTACTATTATGTCAGCTTCTTTCTCTGCTCCCTTCTTATTCTTATTTCTTTTTTTCCCTCTCATTTCTTCACTTTCTCTTCCTTTTCCTCTTTTTCTCTGCCTTACTTCAGTTCTTATTTTTTTTTCTTCATTCCCCGCCATTTAGTTTCACTAGTAACTTCTTGTTAAAAACACTAGTGTCAAGTCTCTTGATAGAGAGAAGCAGATCTGAAAGAATTCTGAGAAGAGGCAAAAGCCCATATAGAATTGTGAGTTCATCATCAGGGAAAGTGATACAAAATATATGCCTGATATTATTGAGACAAAAGACAGTTTTGGTGTAGTATTAGTATCAATAGCTGTAGGGCTTCTTAAGATCTTTAACATATTTGTTTGATGTACTCTCTCCACTGTAGACACTCTACCATGCTGTGTACATTGGAGAGATCTGCAGGACTCTGACTAAGGATGTTGACATTTTTAGAAAGGTAACATTTCAAATGTCTGTCATCTTGTGTATGCTCTTGCTGATGAAACGTGAAGTTTAAGCTCTAGATCTCAGTAATTCATTTGAATGTATTCTCTACCAGTCAGCTCATATTTTATTTGTAACTGTGTCCTCTGCTTCCTTTTTCACACACTGTATCTGTGTCTGGACTTATTAACACATAACACTCCTCCTGTTGTAACCCACATTAATGTAGTGATTAGACACTGCTGGCCTGAAGATCTTGGGTCCAAAATTGACCTTGTCTTCCAGGTTGACCAAGCCCCAAAAATTGGTACTAGGCAATATTCTGGGAAGTAATACTGGCCAGTGTCATACTGATGACATAATCAGGTGAATGCTAATCTGTCTATCAAAATATGATTCTAGCATTGTATGCCTGTTTTCCACTGGCAAAAAAAGGACTCTTCACTTACTTTGTTTTTACTCACCAAGTCTTCAGTCTGTATTTCTCAAAATCACATTGTTTATTTGAGAATAATAGTAATAAATATTTTAGTAGTATAATAATATCATAGTATAATTTCCTGACAGAACTAAAAAACATTGGGTGTCACCAACAGTAATGAGAAGGCCAACCAGAGAGATGAAAAGAGGTGGGTGATATCTGCAGCAGTGAACCTCAAGGGCTCGGAATGCTGAAGAAGACCAACAAGAGAGATGAGTGGAGGCGGGTGATATCTGCAGCAATGAACCTCAAGGGCTCGGAATGCTGAAGAAGGCCAACCATAGAGATGAGTGGAATAGGGTGATATCTGCAGCAATGAACTTCAAGGGCTCGGAATGCTGAAGAAGACCAACAAGAGAGATGAGTGGAGGCGGGTGATATCTGCAGCAATGAACCTCAAAGGCTCGGAATGCTGAAGAAGGCCAACCATAGAGATGAGTGGAAGAGGGTGATATCTGCAGCAATGAACCTCAAGGGCTCGGAATGCTGAAGAAGACCAACAAGAGAGATAAGTGGAGGCAGGTGATATCTGCAGCAATGAACCTCAAGGTATCAGAAAGCTGAAAAAGAAGAAGTGTACACCTTTTGATTATTTAGTGATTTACTGGAGTGGCATTTAGAATGTTGAGCTTTCAAGTGGGAGACCTGGGTTTGAACCCCAGCAAGATTTGGGATTTTGTTATCATAATCTGCACAGTCCGTGACCACAGCACTAGCCAGTCACCTTAGGCTCAAAGACCTCCCTGACAACACCGCAGACATGTTAAATACAGGCAGTAATGGCAGTAAGGTGAGTTACTGATCAACATATAGTGGCTTGCTTGACTTTTCTGACTATCATGAGCATATGGATCTCTTTATCTCTATCAAATGCACTTGTTAACATAACCAAGTAGCTAAATAAGAGATATAATGGCAGTTTTTATACTTCTCTCAGCTTTATATTTTTGTTTTCAGATTGGGATTGCTTTCACCGATGAACTGCAACGTTGCTACAATCTCCTGTGTAAAACTGTATGTTTCTATGTTGTAACTGAGTCATTTTTGTTAAACAGTTAAATTCTTTGAAAATCAGCTAGTGATTAATTTAACTGTCTCTTTCTTGGGAGGTTTGGGTTAAAAGCAGCTTATGTTTGAGTAGAATAGAATTAGGTACGTGAACACTATGGGTAGAATAAGTTGGCATATGCTGTAAAAGACACTCATAAAAACATTCTCTGTTCTCCTCTGCATTTTTCTTCTTTATCTAGTCCTCCTCCTTCTTCTTCTTCTTTTTCTGCTTCTGCTGCTGTTGCTGCTTCTGCTTCTTCTTCTTATTCTGCATCATTTTCTTCTTTATCGACTGGGTGGACAACAGACAGCTAAAAGATCTTGATTTTGCTGATGGTTTTGTTCTGTAGCATCAAAGATTGGACTACAAACAAGTTATAAAAAGACAAATATATTGAAGACACTAACAACAGATCAAGCAGTTGTAACACCAGGGACACAAGTAATTAAAGTGACCGATCAATTTACTTATTCAGGTAGTAATTTTGATAGTGAGGGAAATACAAAGAAATAAATTATGACACACATTAGCAAGGCATCAGCAGCTTTTAATAGCTTAAACAAAATGGCAAACTCTAAATTGTATAGTTTTAAATCAAGCTAACCATTCTAATGTTATTTCAGTTTTAACATATACCAGTGAAAGTGGGAGAACCACTAAAGACATGGAACAAAACTTAAATGCATTTGAAAACAAATGCCTGAGGAAAATGATGAAAATAGAATGGGATGAATTCAAAAGGAGTGTAAAAAAAATTAAAGAAATATCTGGGCAACCACTAGTTTCAACAGTTATATGACACAAGATGACGCTATGTTGGATACATCCTGAAAGTAAACCAACAGAGAATCACTAGACAAGCACTGGAATGGGAAATAAAGGAAGCAAGGACGCCCAAAAAGAAACTCTTAAAAAACTAACGTTGATGAGAGAGGCCAAAGCTGCTGGGCTGGATTCCATCCATGATATTGAACTGACCTCACAGGATAGATCGGAATGGAGGAATAAACTGCAAACCCTGTGTGACGTATAATGGCACAAAAGGAATATTAATAAAGGAATATAGTTTTTACAATGTACTTATGGATGGCATTTGTAACATAAATATGTGTATTAATTTTTAAAATTTTTTAAACCGAAAGACAGAAACATGCTGTCGACTGATTCCTTTACTAATGCCTTATTAGAATTAGTGGCAGATTTACGTATCAGTGCACCATCTTGTTCTGTGGGAAACATTAAATGATAAAATCATTGGGCTTATTAATTTTTTTTCTCCCAGATAGATTTTGAGGCTTCAAAACAGAACAACAGATTTGTAGTTCAAGCTAATGTTGATGCAGCACTGGATGCCAGTGAGTTATCATTACTTTTGCACCTCCTTGTCAGTTAGAGTTGTCTCAGCATTGCACTGAGAATTATTGCTCTATGATATCTGGCTTTAGTTGGTTTAAAAAAAAAAAAAACAGTCACTTTCTACCAATATTTTTACATTTTCACATTACAAAAGCCAGATTTTTTCAAACACAACCATGGCTCCCAGGTCCACCCAGCCTTAAATTGGTAAATTGGTGCCAGGTAAAGTCCTGGAAAGTCAAGGCAGCCGGCATGATGTTAACCACATCACCCATTGAGAACCGACTGTCTAAAAAACTATGAGTTGACATATGCCTGAAATGCCACTGGCAAGTAAAGGAACCTTAACTTTTTTTTTTTTTTTAAACTTCACACAATAGAAGAAATATTTTGGGAAGTGAAAATGGACATCATGATATTGATCACATCACCTATCAAGTACCAATTAGTCTACAGGTTTATGAAATGTACACCTGTATTCTAATGTACCACACGGCTTGGAACTGGGTCTTCTCCCTCACTTTTACTAGGAAGCCCCAATGAAACAAGTAATGTTAGGGACATTTTAGATGTCTTGGTCCTTATATTTTCAGGCTACCCCAGACACAGATATATGAATGTGAGAGAGAGAGAGAGAGAGAGAGAGAGAGAGAGAGAGAGAGAGAGAGAGAGAGAGAGAGAGAGAGAGAGAGAGAGAGAGAGAGAGAGGGTGTGTGTGTGAGAGTGAAAGAGAGAGAGACAGATGGAACAAGAAAACCTTCTGAAATGGTAACTGTTTAGGTCAGTATCATTTTTTTTTTAAACCCAGGTTAGCACAATGTTATTTAGCATTATATCAAGTTTGGATTTTTTCCATCTGCCAAGTATGTCTTTCTGGCTGGTAATACTTTTATCCTTTGAGAACAAATATTGTCAATGGCCACCGAAAAGTTACCATCGCTTGATTAGACATACGCCAGGAACATATTGATGTTGTACCCAGAATATGTTTGTACAGAAACCAATGTGCAAGACGATAGATGGCTATCATCATACCTTTGGGCAATTAGCTACTTTGTTATACAGCAGATTAGTGAATGCTCTCTGAGATTAATTGGATAGTGCAGCAGAACTACAGATAGACATATCTAGTGAGACTGTGAGCTGAGGTTTTGGATGACCTTCAATGCACAGGAAAAAATAGATAATTGTACCCACACCATCATCATGTTACTGACATAGAGAACAGCATGTGAAAGTGTCCTCAGTGCAGTGATGCCAATTCTTGATTGAATGATTCATTCATTCTATGGCAAGATGTAACACCCTAAGTATAAATTGTATGAAAGTCTGCAGAAGACAGGGTGCTTCGAGGAGAAAACACGACTGCAGTTTAAAGTTGATTCCTTGCAAGTGAATACAATTATTAGATGACTCAGTCTGCATCTTGGTTTTAGTCACACTTTTCTGGCAAATATTTCCTTCAGATTTCCTTCAGATACAGTGGGGAAATCACTCTACTTTCTGGTTTTAAATTTGTTTCCTTTATTTATTCTTATAGTCATTCTGATGTCACCGCTACTTGTAAAAGCAATAGTTTTCTTAAAATATCTGATTTTACATTCCTCAGTATTCAGACATTTCAGTCAAGAAGTCCTTTACTAACACAGTTTTGAAATAATGTTTTGAATTAATAATTTTCCTATTAGACTGTATTTGATCTCACAGTAAAATAAATTGGACTTTTAGATAACATCTAATTGTAATTTACAGAGAAACACACATACAATGGCCTACCGGATCTAATGAGTCGAGTGGCTCGGGAAGAACTGAACTCATTGAGTGATGACATTAAAGCATGTGTTGTCAGTTACCTTCCACAGGTGAGAAAATCATTATTATCAGTTACCTTTTACAGTCGAGAAAAATCATGATACTTTTTCCAGTTTACCATACATTTATTAATTGCCTTGATAGTTGATCACCACACTGCTATATTTTTTTGCCTGCATTATTTCTTAAGAAGTAAACATATTATATTTGTGACCGTTTTCACAGCTAGTGAATAATCTAATTAACTCTTTCATTCCCAAGGGGTTTAGTATCAGAGGCCCAAGAGGTTTAGCATCAGAGGCCCAAGGGGTAGTAAAGAGACACATACAATCAACACATTTTGCATTCATTGGGCTTCTAGGTAGGAATCTATGAATATATGATGCATTCCTAGGGACTGAAAGAGTTAAAATGTTCATGCTGTAGAAGGATGAAAATTAATTAGAGTGGGAAGGTATAATATAAACAGCATACATTATGCAAACGACACAGTATTGATAGCTGAAATTGCAAATGATCTGCAAGAGTCATTGGACATTGTAGTCTGCTCTTGAAAGTAAAGAAAACGGAGGTTATGGACATTTCAAAGAAAAGATTTGAGTTGAGTCAAGAATTGCCATCACAGCACTCGAGGCTACACGCATTACCAAAACTTAGGATGACTTGGTGTGAGTTTGTTGAGAGCGTATGCTCCACTGAGGGAGAAAGGGTAGAACAAGAAGTTTAACATTTAAAACACCATTTATGTTTCGTTAGTGATTTTAACTTTTAATATAAGCAGACCACCTGGCTTAGAAAGAAACAACACTAAATCTGTGCTTTATGGACCATTCAGTGAATTTAAAAAAAGAAAGTGAAATTAATACAAAAGACAACATTGTTAATAAATATGAACAGTCCATTTCAAGCAAACATAAGAAGTTTTCATGTAAGTGTTTATGCACTTGCACTGACATGCGAAAATTTAGTTATCTTTAAAAATTTTTTTTAAATTAATGTAAATCCTTCACAAAAATTAACCATACCACCCACTGAGTGCTGACTGATCTGTACAGTATACGTCTAACTAATGTCAGATGCCCCAAAACACCACTGACATAAACAAGGGATCCTTTGTTTAAAAAGGAAAGAAAAAAGTAAAGGACCCTTTTCGTGCCAGCCGTGCATATGATGCTAGACTCATATTTTAATAGAACCAATCTGCTGTTGTTAGGTGATCTGGTCAACATCATGCCAGCAGCCTTTACTTCCCAGGACTTGAATTGGTTCCCAATTTAGGCTGAGAACGAAGGTTAGGTTTGAAACAGAAAAAAATCTAGTGCAATGAGGATTTAATCTCAGGACCTTCAGACAAAATGCTGACTGTCTAGCTGTTTCACCAGTATGTCTTTCAAAAAGAGTCCTTTTATCTTTTACTAAATCCTTGAACAGATTGGCTACCTGCTGGTGATAGACATGCCTGAAGGAAAGACAGAACAGGATGATCACACAATTGAAGGACTGGAATTTAAGGTGAGGATATACATTGATTTGCTTTGTCATGCTCTATTAACTCTTACAGTCTCATCCAGTATTACTCTAAACCATTCTGTCCTGAATAATTGCTACTTAGTAAATGTTCATATTTGAGTATACTTTAAAAAAAAATAAACAAAAAAAAATTAAAAAAACAAAAAGTACTAAATAAAATATACAGCTTAGCGGAGAGAAAAATATTAAATAGCAATAACACCCTGAGATAGAAGAAGCTATAGAAACAACAGAGGGGTTTCTGGGGCCTGATTTTGGGAAGAATAAGAATAGATCTACTGCTTCCTAACAAGCATATTGTACAAAGCAACTAATTGTGGGTATTTCCTTTTGAGTTAGAGTACATCTGCCCTAGATGTGAGGAACCAACAGTCTGCACACAATTAAGCCAGATCTGTAAAACAGATTGAGCACAAAAAAATCAGTTTCCGGAAGAAGATCAAAGTCCATAAGTGGATGAATAACCACAATGTTCCCAATGAGTTTACAACCCAGGTGATCACTAAGAAAAAGAAGAGGAGACAGTTGATTAAAATCAAGAAAGCGTTTAAGAATGCATTGACTTTCACAATGTCTGAGCCCTCAATCCCAGAGTGGTTAGTGTAGAAACTTTTCTTTCCACTCTGTACTAAAGTACCAAAGGGATTGTGCTGCCGAGCTCTTATTTCACTCTTCAAAGTTAGTTTGAAGTCAGAAGAGATACAAGCACGGAAGTAGAACCCTACATTTGATGAGAGACATAGACATTTTGGAATATTAACTATTCTAAACTTCAGGCTGAGATATGATACATATATTCATTGGCACTATGCCAAAGTTATATGTATATGCAGTTTTCTGTGGTGTGCATTTTCACTGTATTTTGTTTGTCACTTTACAGTAAACTAAAGGCATACCCGTGAATTCCCACTCCAAATAGATCAAATTTTGCTTTCTATGAGCTACATAATTTTCACCGAGATCTCAGTGTTTAGATGCCATTGTCTTGAAACAAGGATTTAGTACCTAGGTGATTTTGGCATGGTGCCATGATAAGTTTGTGTTCCCAGATCCTTGTCAATTTGAGACCTGGTCTTGTTACCTCAGGAATCTAGGTTTTTTAGTAGTCACCAGCTTCTCACTGCTTGTAACTTTCTGCAGACAACATTCACAGTGAGAATCCTCAAATGTTATGCATACCACACCATGCTTATGGTGCAGAAACTTGGACAGTGAACATGCAACTAACAAATCTGGAGAGAGACAAAGTCTCTTGTAAGAGATCCATTGCAACCAACCTTCATTGTGGAGAGGGCACCTGATTGATTGACCTATTTCCATGCCTTGAGATGTGTTGGGTATATGGTGCTAGGCTCTTATTCTATATAAAGACTGATCAGCACTAAATGGGTGATGTGTTTAGTATCACACCTTTACCTGGCAGAACATTTTTCAGAACCCTTTTTTCAGCAGTGGTCTTCATAGAAAACGTTAGGAGATGGGTCACTAAATAACAATACAAGTGATGCCAACTTCCTCAGAATAAATTTTAGATGACAGGCAAGAATGACAAGTTATGACACCCAATGTCTGCTCCACACCAGAGGCCTCAAGAAGAAAAGAAATAGTATCATGCAGCACAGATGCAAGGACTACGGTTATTTACTCATACTCTTTAAAAGTAAAAGTAAAGGACTATTTTTCACGCCTTTAGGCATATTGGGCATAGAGGGCTAGACCTAAATTTTATAGACAATCAGTACTTGGTGGGTGATGAGGTTATCACGACAGCCGTCTTTACTTCCCAGGACTTCACCTGCTACCAACTCAAGGCTGTGTCGACCTGGGAGCAAGTAATTTTTTACAAAAGCCTGGTTCCTTCAGGAACCTAATCCACAACCTTCCGATGTGTAGGCGAGCTTCTATCAGCCAGGGCGACTTCCAGTCATACACTTTACCAGATGGAAAAAGGATGTTTAACTAACCCTTTTGCCCTAAGAAGCTAAAAGTAGTCACTTCCAGCTATGATGCAGCCCTGATAGATATTGTCACAATTTCTGCACTGACCTATTTTTGAAAAGCGTAGTTAAATTACATTGATTCTGTGTTTGCCTGCGCAGTGATTAGGAGACCAAAGTGTGAAAATATTAACTAAATATAGCATTTAGAGGGGTTTTCTTGTGAATCCAACAGCTGTTTTCAAGCCAGGTTGACTTGAAATTTTCTCATAAACCTTAGATATAGAGGTCAGAGGGTCCCGGCGTGAGTCACCGGATACATATTTGTTTTAAGCCCCTGGATGCCTTTATATATCTCTATATATTTTGAAACAACAGTTTAAAAAATGCAGATAAATAAATTTGTTAACAATTTATTAATTACCTGTATTAAATAGTTTTTTTTTTTTTTTTATTTATTTAAAAAAAATGTTAAAATCTCCCACTGGTTCATGACCTTGCTCCCCTTCTTTTTTTTTTTTTTTTTTAGCATTTGCAGGTTAAAAAGGTTAAAAGAGAGAGGTTCAATTTCATGACACCAGGTTTTATCCTATGTGGCTTAGTCTCTCTTCACAGAGTTCTTAGGCTCTCTCCTCATTCTTGATTCGTGCACTAAATGTGTCCCTCCCCAAAACCTAGCACTATAAATAAAATAAAAAAATTCACACAAGAGAATTAAGCAATTTACCATGTAAAATACCTCTGTGTTTGCCATTTTAAAATATGCATACTAATATCATCATTGTCTGTGTAGAAATAACACATGTAATCAACAGATCCATTGTTAAAATATTGCAGTTTGCCTCTGATAATCAGCTGTTTTACAAGTCTCCTAGAACATTAGGTAACATTTGTTTCCTGTATTATTTCTTTTAGGGTAGTTTAGATTATGTCTGTACATTTTCCCTATCTTGTTTAATTTAACATATTCTAGGTTATTGGTCATAGATAAATAATCTCTGCTATGCTGATGACACTGTAATAATAACAACAAATCAGAAAGAATTACAGGAATATATCAACATGGTAGTTGTAGAAAGCAACACCCCACCCCCCAGCCCCCCCCCCCCCCCCCAAAAAAAAATTGTCTTCCGCTTTAACAGTGGGAAGACTGAAATAATGGCAATATCAAAGAAATAATAGTGCCACAATGTACAGTTAAAGTCAGTGGTATTATCTTAAACTCGGAATGTCTAAGGATATTGATAACACTGGATAGATGACGTATCACAGAGATTAAGAACTGAATACGACAGACACAAACTCCCAAAGACAGCAGTGGTACGCTGTAGCCACTTCACTGATGAGACTGCACACATTTTTTATGGAAGATTGGATACCAAGTGGTCTGTCTGGAATAGGCCAATGCAGTAATGCTGAATAAGCATCTTTTCCATGATTTGTAACGGATGGAGATGTTAGATTAGCAGCATCTTGGGGAGACCTGTAATGTTACCTAGTAGTGTTCCATTTTCTTTATTCAAATTACAAGTTCTTAGCTCAGTTAATGAAAGTTGCAGCATGTGTATACCAAAATACACCCTCTGTATGAATGTTCTGTTGTGAATAGATTTTCTAATTTAAAAACTTTGCTATGGCAATGGGTATATTCGACCTGCTGTTTACAATTTTTTATATTAGAGTACTTTTTTACACTCTTGCCCAAAAAAGCTATTCCCTCAATAAACTAGCCAGAAATCATCAGGAAGTGTTGGAGTATGAATATCAACACAGACAAAAATGTCTGAAAAATATTGTACTTGCTGGGACTTTAACCTAGAAGTTTTGAAGGATGCCACACCACCCTTTAACAAAACCTAGAAATTTTGAAGGATGCCACACCACCCTTTAACAAAACCTAGAAGTTTTGAAGGATGCCACACCACCCTTTAACAAAACCTAGAAATTTTGAAGGATGCCACACCACCCTTTAACAAAACCTAGAAATTTTGAAGGATGCCACACCACCCTTTAACAAAACCTAGAAATTTTGAAGGATGCCACACCACCCTTTAACAGAACCTATAAATTTTGAAGGATGCCACATCAATCTTTAACAAAACCTATAAATTTTGAAGGATGCCACACCACCCTTTAACAAAACCTAGAAATTTTGAAGGATGCCACACCACCCTTTAACAAAACCTATAAATTTTGAAGGATGCCACACCACCCTTTAACAAAACCTAGAAATTTTGAAGGATGCCATACCGCCCTCTAACAAATTATAAATACACTGTGCAAGGTAACATTTTATCAGAAAACAAATTACACATAAGACCACAGATAATGGACATATGATTTGTATATTAAAATGAAATAAATGATTTCTTCAGTATTATGATTGTTCATTCCAGAGCTTGACAGAATTCTAGGGGATACACAACTGGAAATACTAGGTAAGTATATGAGTGCTTCTGTTTATTGTTGATGTACAGTTTACAATTTAGGGGATGCATAACTGGAAGTATTAGGTGAGTGTACGAGTGCATGTGTTTATAGTTGATGTACAATTTACAGTTTAGGCATACACAACTTGTACACAACTGGAAGTACTAGGTGAGTGTACGAGTGCTTGTGCTTATTGTTGATATACAATTTACACTTTAGGCATACACAACTTGTACATAACTGGAAATACTAGTTGAGTGTACGAGTGTTTATCTGGGCACATGGATAACATCAGATGGAAGATGCATAACTAATATAATAAACAGAATAGGACAGGCAAAAACATTTTATAAAATGAAGAACATCTTGTGCAATATATCCTTGTCATTGATAGTAAGAAAAAGAATCTTTGCTTGCTACATACATCCAGTTTTAACTTATGGCTGTGAATCCTGGACAATCGGTAGGCAGGCCAAACAATTTCTTGAGGCCTCAGAAATGTGGTTTTACAGAAGAATGCTTAGAATACCTTGGACAGCCAAAAAGAGCAACTAAGAGGTTTTGAAAGAGGTGGAGCCTAAAGACAACTTATCACAGACATCAGAAGGAGACAAGTCATCATTTTTTGGCCATGTTATGAGAAGAGGAAAAATAGAACATGTTGTGACCACTGGAAAGATTGTGGAAAGAGAGATAAAGGAAGACAACGAAAGAAGATTCTTGACAGTCTTGTTGCATGGCATGGAGGTGTGTCGGCACACAAACTAATAGGAGATCGCAGATTGTGGAGAGGCATGATCGCCCATGCCAGTCGGCAAGGCACCTGATAATGATGATAATGATGAGTGCTTCTGTTTTTGTGTGTGTTGATGTACAATTTACAATATAGGGGATGCACAACTAATACTAGGTAAGTGTACGAGTGCTTTTTTTTTAATTGTTGATGTATGAGTTTACAATTTAATGGGTATACATTTGGAAGTACTCTGCAAGTGAGCAAGTGTTTCTGTGTATTGTTAATGTACAGTTTGTTGTTGGCCTATGTTTGTTGATGGCATACACTTTGTTTCTCTTGAAAGATGTTATACATTTGTTTTTACATGTTTTATCATCAGATATGGAGGTAGCCATCATGCATCATCTGCAGGATATAATACTTGAAAAAACTCAGCTAATGCTGGATGTTATGGAACTAGCATCAGAGCTGGACTGGTGAGCAGCTGAACTAGTCTGTCTAACCACCATTTATCAGTTTTGTTTAATATCTTACACTGGTGGATTGGTCTCTCTGTCCAATGGTGATATCTGTAAGTCCTGCTTTAGTATGTTGTTATCCTGGTGAATTTGTCTATCTTTCTGTCTATCTAGAAGGTCAGTTATAAATCCTGCTAGTTTGACTGTCTGTCTAACAGTGGCATTTGTAAGCCTCCTTTAGTATGTTATGGTGGTCTGTCCGTCTGTCTAAACAGTGACATTTGTAAGTCATGCTGTAGAATGTTATGCTGGTGAGTTTGTCTATTGAGCAGTGCAAATTGTAAGCCCTACTAGTTTGTGTGTCTGTCTGTTTAACAGTACAATTTCTAAGTCTCTTTTACAAGGTTATGGTGGTGGGTTTGTCTGTCTAACAGTGCCATTTGTAAGTTCTACTTTAGTATGTTACGCTGGTGGGTTTGTCAATCTGTCTAACAGTACAATTAGTAAGTCACACTTTAAAACTGTATTGTGTTGAGTTAGGCAGTCTACTGGGACATATCATTTGCAGATCACACTTTAACATGTTCTGCTGGAGAGTAGGACTATGTTTCACAGTTGAGGGCGGTGGTTTTTATTTTAGAAATGTTGGTCACTTGCTACCCTTATATTTTTTTATCAAATGCATTACCTTATCATATTATTAATTGACTGATAAAAATGGAACTAAAAGTTAATCTTCATAAGTTAAAATATCATACTGTCGAATTAGAAATATTAAATTTAGAAAGCAGCTTTCGAAGTCAATCATAAAAAGATATCGCAGTTACAAACATTATGATGATGTTTTTTTTTTTTTAACTGCTACTTTGCAGTTAATAATCACACCTTAGACCCAATATTAAGAGAGCTTGAGGAAAGAAAAGTTAAAAACAGCAAAATTGTTGTCCTTTGTAACTGCATGTCAGTCCTTAAGGCGACTCAGAGGGATTCATGAGACAACATAGAGAGAGAAGACCCACAGGTTAAACAGACACAGAAAACAATCAAATCGTTCTCCAGTGGATCCTGAAAGACTTGGAAAAAAATGAAACAAATGAGAAGCAACACATTTACATTACCAGAAATCAAAATACTCATCAAGGGAAAATACAAAGAATTGTAGAGAGAACAAACTAACAGTAAACACCACAAGACCCCATCAGGTTACTTAACAGAAAGCAACATACAACAATTTTCTGTCATTGAACAGGACACTGCAAGCTCAACTGCCACATGCATAAAATAAAGATTGTACAGTCTTCACGGAGTGCCTGTCAGACAGGACCACAAACACCTGAGCACATTCTGCAGAGCTGCCCACTCTAACTAGAATTTCTAAAAGAAACCTGGCCTCAAGAGCAAAGTGTGCAGAGAAAACTGTGGGGAACCATAAAGGACCTGCTACTGAAATGCGAGCTCATAGAGACAACCCACCGGTGGTCTGATCTGAGCATAGGAAACCGAACGCAAAGAAGAAGAACCCAATATTCAAGATTGTTCTTTCTTTAAACTTCTAATTATAAAAACATAATTGTCTTCACTAGCTTGATGGCTTTAGCAACGTGTGCCAATGAGTTTGGCTATGTGTTCCCTACTCTCATTGAAGAGACTGTTCTTGACATCAAGAATGGAAGGTTAGTGTAAATGTTGTAACTCATTCTACATGTCATACATATTATCACAGTTGCCAGGATGCTGGAGGTATTTGGTAAGGTCAGTTCAAGAAGTGTACAGTGTTATTTGACTCACCCTGCTTTAGATTCTCAATTCTAGTTGCTTGTTAAGGTTTCTCTCATCTTTCTGATTGTAACCTTCTTTCATCCTGATCTAAGCAGTTGCTAACATTGTGTGCCTGTTCAGAAAAGCTAAGATATTGTTACAGTGATGCACCCTGTTTCCATGGGTGTGGTGTAGGGTATTGTCAGCTGTAGCTCTCAAACCCTGGAGAGAGAAAAAGTTGGTCAGACTATGAGACACTTCAGTCATCTGATGTGCTACAGCTTGAGTCCCTATAATATATTGGGTTCTCAGAATAAACCATTGTTGCTGCTCAAATAACATAATAAAATTTCAGTGACTATATGGCTACAACAATTTTATATATAATACAACCATCCTGACAAGACTGTTGTTTTTTTATTATAAAGATCTCTTTAATTAAAGTCATTTTAAAGACAAGAGGATTGACTATCAAGTTTTTTTTTTTTTTCAGTATTGCTAGATCTCTCTCCACTGAGGAGCTGGCTGCCTGCAGTGCACACAGCATGAACTCCTTCATTCCAGTGACAATCTCCAGGGATCTCTGCGCCTGAAAATCATTTGAAGGCGTTCAGTTTCAAATAACCTTCAGAGTATGAGGCAGATTAACGACTTCACTATGGAGCTCCCCATTATATATGAGGAACTCATTTAACAGTATGAGTGTGTAAAACACAGTTGCTGTAAATTAAATAAGGTGTGCTATTTCACCCGGTAAGAAGCGAGCAGAGAACCTGTATTTGATCTGTCCAGATAGGAAAATCCTGCCAGTGTCAATACTTTCACATGACCCTTGGGGTCATTACGAATTGCAGGTACCTCTAGTGCTGCAAGAACAGAAAGCCGAGAAATTTAGCAATTTAAATTAATTATTTAAGAGTACACCGACATGTGACAGTGAACTGCAAGAATGATGTACCTTGGTTTTCATCTGTTTTCTTCCTAATATTGTCTTCCTAACCAGACACCCTTTACAAGAGTTATGTTGCAGTCCTTATGTGCCAAACCACACAAATATGGGAGGACAGCACACCAAGATGAAGTTGCTAACTGGTCCTAATGCTTGTGGGAAGAGTGTTTATCTCAAACAGGTAAAACAAATACTTTTTTTTATTGATCTATGATTCTTTTGGGAATGGTCATGTGTTTGTAAAGTGGTTTCAAAGGTGGACGTAACCATCTGTGAAATGAGATGTTTGAGAAGGGCTGCAAACTGAACCAGAAGAAATTGTGCGAGAAATGAAGTTAAAAGAAGAACTATTGCAACCATACCCATCGTTAACTTCATTGGGAAACAAAGACACACATTTTTAGCCACCTAATGTAAAATTGGAAACATCAAGAGGTGGAGAGAGATCTAGAAAAAGATGCATTGAAAGGGTCACTGACAGCCTGAGACTTCACAGCCTACCAAGCAATCACATGCACCCTGGCTTGGCTACCTATCATTTGTTAAGATTAGATACCTGGTGGCATAAGCAGATATTGACAAAAGAAAACATAAAGTGGTACAAATTAGACGTTGGTAACCAGCAAACAAGGGGATTTATAACTGATCATGTTGCAAACAATGCTTATTTGACAGCCCATAGGTCTTCTATCTCACTGAGGCAGATTTTTAATTATTGATTTCACCTAAAGCTGGCACCTGGAAATGCCCTGAGAAGTAAAAGCTACTGGCATGATGTTGACTGTTTCACCCATGGAGTGCCAGTTGATCTATAACAATATTGATCCAGCACTACTTGTTGATTGAAAAGGGTGGTATTACCTTTACTTAACTTTGATGTTAATGTCTTAGAGGTTGTTGCAGCATAGTCATTAGTGTTCTCCTTGGGAAGTAAAGGCAGCTCTTGAGATGTGGACCACATAACCCATTGAGTGTCAGTTGGTCTATAAAATGTTGAATGTTGAATTAAGAATTGATATCATAGCACTCTGGACACTCCCATAAGCACTCCATCCCCATCTTCAGCAGCAAACAAAGAGTTCCATTGTTGAATGTACCAGTAACTGTCTGATTGTACGTCCGTCTCGCCTTTCCTTTGAGTGTTGAGTGTCAGCCAAATCCCCTGGTAACTCCCTGCAGCGCCTTTCTCCTCTGACCGTAATGATCTATTTGTGCCTTCACGCTGTTCACTGACTCCCAAAGGGCCTTCACAATATCTAGCTTGTCATACACCAATTCACCACCAAGTAGTGCAGAGAACTAGCCAGTCTATCTGCCTGCTCATTTCACTACACACCGGCATAACCTAGAGAAAATATCAAAGGACGCTGACTACCCAGACCTCTGAAGAGATGCCTGCTACCTTTTTCAACATGCTCAGTGAGTCTGTTACAATTACGATTCTTCTTCTTCTTCAGCATTCTGAGCGCTTGAGTTTCATTGCTGCAGATATCACATGCCTCCATTCATCTCTCTGGTTGACCTTCTCTTTCCACTTGGTGACACCATGTGTTTGCAGGTCTGTCTGGATGTTATCGTTTCATCGTCTTCTTGGTCTGCCTCGTGGTCTACGACCATTCATCTCCCTCTTGTATACAGTTTTTACTTCTCTGTACTGGTTAAATCCATCCAAATTTGAGTCTAAGATATCTGTTTCGTGATGAGATAAAATTTCACTAAGGTGGGGGTGTCGGCCCCACGCATTAACCCCCAATCTGGAGGACCAGGGTGTCTCTCTTAGTCTGTTCTCTACACTTCAACCTTTCCAGCTTGGGAGGACCTGCTGGTAGCTACGCTGTCGCCGGCATAGCTCTCAGGGTCATTGAGAAACACAAGCTCCCCCACCACAGCAAGCTGGAGACAACTTCGGGGGAGACAATTGCGATTGGACTATAAAAATATAAGTAGCATCATATGCCAAGTGTGTTACTGGCATAAAAAAGGGTCTTTGACTTCACTTTGCTTACAGTATTTTTTTAAATCACTAAGTAAGACTAGTAATACAAATCTGAATCTCAGACAGAGGCAACATTGGAGTTGTATCAACTCTGTCTTGTCATGTGTATACTAAATCTTCTTTTGTTCTACTACTTTTGACGTAAAGTATCACAGAGAGGAATCAGATGTCATTCCCTGTCTTTTGCCAGTTGCGTAGCTTATGTTAATGTTATATTGTGTTTCTGTAGTGCCTTGACCCATTTCTTTCTTCGCTGGCCTCTTGCCTTGTAGTCTGCTGTTCTCAGGTAGTACGCTCTATCTGCTGGCTGCTTTTTTTTTATTCTGACCAGATGATCAAAGCATTTGATTCTTTGATGATGTGTGAAATCATTTAGTGGTACTGTGCCTACCATTTTTCTTAGTTCTTCGTCGGTGACTCTGTCTCTTCTTGTTTTTCTCACACAATATCTTATACTTTTTAACTCATATGTTAATATTGTAAATATTATCTGTGATAAAAACGTGATAAGAAAGAGTTTTTTTTTTCACCCCATGAGAATCTGACATGACCTCTGCTATTGTGCATTCGGCAGGTTTTTGTGACATCACACGATATAGCTATGTTACACATTACTGTTATCCTGTCTTTTTTGATACAGTATAATGGAGTTAAAAGTCTAGTTTATTCTCATTTAAGAAGTGACATTGTAGAATTACTTACATATTCAGCTACATATTTGAACTACCAAACATAAATTGTTCCATATTCTTTGTTTTAATTTTGTGTTTTTGTTTTTAGTTATGTATTAAAGCAGGGCTATTCAACTAAATTTACTAAGAGGCTAAAGTATTTAAAATGGGGATTGTTATGTGCCAGAGGCCCAAGCCACAGATTAGACAAATCATTAATTCAATACAGCTGGCAATGATCTGCGGGCAAACTGCTAGGCTCGGGCGGACCAAATTTCGCCAACTAGCCACTAGCATTAAAGTTTACTTATTAGAGTTTCCCTTGTGGGTTCTAGGTCCCATTGTTGGGAAGGGGGGGGGGGGGGGGGGAAATAGGATAGACCCACTGCTCACTAACATGCATGTCATAGGGTTAAACTAATTAGGGCTGTTTCCTTCTAAATCAGAGTGAATCTGCCTGAGAGGTGAGGAACCAACTGTCTAGATACAAATAAGCCAGATCTGTAAAACGGATGTGCACGCAACACTCAGGTTCTGGAACAGAAGTGTCCAGAAGTGGATGAACAACCTGAAATTTCTGCCATAGTTTACAGCAGATGAATGCGTAGAAGAACATTGGTTATTGTCATTATTAATTTTAATTTTGTTATTAACAAACTGTTCATTTTTTTCCCTTGTCAATCCAGGTTGGTCTGATTGTGTTCATGGCCCATATTGGCAGCTTTGTGCCAGCAGAGGAAGCTAGAATTGGGCCCGTTGACAAAATATTCACCTGTATCAAGTCTGTGGAGAGTGTCTCTGGTGGACTGTCTGCCTTCATGCAGGAAAATGTCCAGGTCTCAGAAGCCTTGAGGCTGGCAACATCCAACTCCCTGATTCTGCTAGATGAGTTTGGGAAAGGAACAGAGGCAGTAAGGACTGTTGTTTTATTGTCGTTTTATGCACTCTTTTATTTATTCATTTGTTTATTCTCTATTTGTGCCATTCTTTGTCACTTTGGTTATTTCTCAACTCCATTCTATCTTGTTGTCATTTTATGCACTCTTTCATTCATTCGTTTATTGTCCATTTGTGCCTTTATTTATCACTTAGGGCTCACAAGCTGTTTCTCCACTCCATCGTGTCTTGTGCAATCACATTGATATCATGAACAGAATCCAGTCCAGCACCTTTGGCTTCTGTCATCAGCGTTCACCTTAGTGTTTCCCTTAGACATCCTCAGTGCCTATTTGGAAACTCTCTGTTCGTCTCTTCTCATAATCTGTCCAATATAGCCCCATCTTCTCTGTCTTATAACTGTTGATACTAGTGGTTACCCAGATAATCAGATAAGCCTTCTTAGACAAATAATCTCCCCATGTGGGTCCCCAGGCCCCATTTTAACAAAAGAAAAGAATAATTTTCTTCTGAACAAACATGTCGTAAAAGGCAGCTAATCCAGCATTCTCTGAAATCAGATATGTTTGGCCAAAAGGCTTAGATATCACAGCCTGGTTGTAAACCTAAACATAAAGTGTCAACCACTCTTTTATTGACAAAAAGAAAAAAAGAAAAAGGTAAATAAAAATTAACTAGATTTATTAACATCATAGAAAACATTGTATGCTCTCAATTTTATCAAACTTTTATGCTGATTTTATAAATTAGTTATCTGTATGAACTGGTAATTTTATATATTTCCTGTAAGAGTTATCAATGATTTCTTAAAACTTGCATTTAACTTAGGAACACAATATAGACTTCCAGTATTGGCTGATGATGATGTTTAACCCTACCAGGGTCACCCTGAGAGATAACCACCCGGTGACACAAAGTGCCACCATTAGGATGGGGATCACCCAGGGACAAGGCTCAAAAATCCCATTTTAAATGAACAAAAAAATTGCATCCAACAATGGGGTGGTCACTATTATAACTGTAATCCAACATTGGCTGGCATTATTTTTGGTGAAGCTGAGTTTCTTTAGATGGTGAATGTCATATAAAAGAATTAAATGATAACTCAGTTAATATTTTTGTTTTATTGTTTAAGCATTACTTTTTTTTAAATGTATATTACATTTGTTTAACTATCAAATAAGAACTGCTATAACAAGCAGAAACATAGAGAATGATTGAAATGAATAAGGTTATGAGTTCAGTTATCTTCACAGCATTCCAGGCATGTTCATAGTTGCTCAGATTCTCCCTTCAACATATACATCAGCGTCCCACAGTTAATAGTGCCAGTCCTATGCTGGTTAACAAGACTTTGGGTGCATCTAGTGTGCCTCTCATACTTGGCTGTGCCAATCTTTACTCCAAGCTCTCATATTCTTAGCAGTGATGTGGACAGGCTGCTCTCAATTTCCTCAGATCCTCCTGTCTCTCAGAGGACATTAACAATGTCAGCATGGTCCATAGTCTGGCCATCTGCAGCTAGGGCAGAACAGGCCAGTCTATCAGTTCTTTCTTTGTCAACAATACATGCATATCCTGGGACAAAGATGAAGGTAACTGCATGCATGGGGAGTTTCGCAATGACTCAGTCCACTATCATAGTCAGTGCTTTTGGCTGAGTTCATGGCTGCATAAATGTTTAGGACTTCAGGGTATGAATATATTAGCTAAATATAGCAATTACAGCATAAGACAAACCCAGTCAGCACAAATATACTTCTTATACTAAGCATATTGTCAGACGTCACTCACAAAAGAACATAAAAGAAAATGAATAAATAAGGTATCTGAGGAAGAGGTAAAATCGGGAATTAGGTCATATGAGATAAAGTTGGCACAGAACCAATTCTAAATTACACACAAAGACAGCAAATCAATTGGAAAGAATGCCTTCTGATGCTATACCATACAAGGTATATACCAAAAGAGGAGAAGGATGTAGAGCAAGAGGTAGACGAAGAACAAGATGGGAAGATAATATCAGAGAAACTACAGCACCACAATGGGTCTATGTTCGAAGTAGTCAGAAGAGCATGAAGCAGGACCTTATATCTTCCTCGACACTGAAGCAGTAAAAGAAGAAGAAGAAGAAATTTTCCTGTAAGCCTCAGTAATAGAGGTTACATGTTCCTAGCATGAGTCACCCAATACATACTGTTGTTTAGGCCTGTGGCAATGTATCTTATTTAATGCTTCAGTTTGTTCATGATTATTGATTACTTCCTTTACATATCTTTATATATTTTTAGGTAAACAAAATCAATGTAGTTAAATAAATGTTTGACAAATGTATTAGTGTCCTGGGTAAGATTGTTGTTTTTAAAGACTTTTATTGGGAATTCTCACAGGGTCATGGCCCATTCTCTTTTATGCGTTCTCGGGTTAAGTTATGATTTAGTTCGCTAATATCATGTATCAGTTGATATTTAGGTGATTTGTTAATTTGTGACCTTCTTGTCAAATTGTTCAGGTAACAGATGGCATGATTTGATATCATGATTCATGGTCAGACCTCAGTTGCAAATAGATATCTTGGGAATGGTTTCATTTAGTGAAATATTTTTAAGAACTATCATTGGTTGGTCAGTGATTTCTTGATGTTGCATTCAGACAGATGGAATAGCACTGCTCACTGCTGTCATCAAATTCTGGATTACACAAGGCTCTGATTGTCCACTGGTTCTTGTGTCCACTCACTTTCATAGTATCATACAGCAGCAGTTACTGCCACCATCAACACAGCTGCAGTTTCTGGTGAGTAATGATACCTGTCTGTCTATCTGTCTATCTGTCTATCTGTCTGTCTGTCTGTCTGTCTGTCTGTCTGTCTGTCTGTCTGTCTGTCTGTCTGTCTGTCTGTCTGTCTGTCTGTCTGTCTGTCTGTCTGTCTGTCTGTCTGTCTGTCTGTCTGTCTGTCTGTCTGTCTGTCTGTCTGTCTGTCTGTCTGTCTGTCTGTCTGTCTGTCTGTCTGTCTGTCTGTCTGTCTGTCTGTCTGTCTGTCTGTCTGTCTGTCTGTCTGTCTGTCTGTCTGTCTGTCTGTCTGTCTGTCCTGATTGCTACTCAAAGGTTTGAGACCACTGAGACTTCAAAGTTCTCATTCTGAATGGTACGTCAACAGAAAAAATCAAAGATACTTTGTTAAACCTCCAGAGAAATAATGCTTACACCAGGCTGGCGTAACTTGCAGTCCTGCGCTGATAAGGATTCTGTGTATGAATAAGAATACCTTATGTAATATTGAATGAAAGTTAAACTGGATATTTCAAACACCGGTAATGAATTTTCTTGTCTTCACTCGTGGCGATTGAATGAAAATAATCAAGATTAGTTCTACCCAATTAGTTCACTCTATACGTCACAGCTAAAATTTAGTTAGTTCCCCCAAATAGCTCACTCTAAATCATAGATGAAAAATGTAGATTAGTGCCACTTCTTAATTCACTGTTAAATTGTAGTCACAAAACTAGATTAATTTCACCAAATAGTTTGTTGACTATCAAGTGAGACTCCTCCCAGTCTTGCTGAATTCTCCTTGAAAAAATGTTGGCAGCAGTAGGTACTCAGCTCAGTGCCTCATACCAAAAGCAACCCTGCAGTTTGCTTCCTCTCAGTGGATCTGTTCTGTTGAGATATTTACTGGCTGCAGCATGGTCTGCTCTTGGCTGGAACATTAAGCTGGTTGTTTCTCTCTCTCTGTCTCTCTTTCTCTCTCTATCTCTCACACACTCTCTCGCTCTCACACACACACATGCACACCAGCCTTTTATGTGGATAGTAAAGATAGAAGTGTTACATGTGAGCCTTCACAGCAACTAGAATGCAAATTCTGTTGAATGAGTTTAAAATAGTATGACTAAGTATGTGCATCAACTCCTGATGAAATTACTTGCTGCATAGTGTAAGAAATTACAAACAAGATGTAAGACTGATATGCCATGGGAGCTCCGGAAGCCCAGTGGCTTGCTGACCTGAAGGTCCTGGGTTTGAATACACATCCAGGTTGAGCTGACCTAAAATGAGTTCCAGGAATGCCCAATATGCAATGTCATCAATTGTGATAATATAAAAAATAAAAAACCTGGAAATATCCTGGAAGTAAAGCTGGCTAGTATGATTTTGATGACCTTGCCCGTTGTGTGCTGATTGGTGTTTACAAATATAACTAGCATCATGTTCAGTTGTCATTGCGAACATGCTTCATAATGCTTTAGTGCCAAGTTCGATCCCAGCTGCAGGCAATTTTTTTTTTGGTCACCTTGCATTGGTTTGGACAGTAGTACTGCCACTCAGTAAGCAATGGCAAACTACTGAACATAAAATTTGCTTAGAAAAACCACAACCAAAAAATGCTGGGTTGGTTCTGCAGGGTCCTGTAAAGAATATGCAGCTCACGTAACCATGTACCTAATACCAAAATATGACATGAATAGGTCCTGTACTGTCTTTGTTTAGGGCATGCTTGTCATTTTCTGATGAATGTCATTCACTTTCAGACATTTGACACTGTGATGAATGGAGAAGAGCTTGTGTTTCTGTACCAGATGAAAGAAGGCCACACAAGTTCGAGTTATGCTTTCAATATTGCATTACAAGTTGGCTTGCCACCCGCCATTGTCAAACGTGGCAAAGAGGTATGGGATACAGAAGTGTCTTTGTTTCATTTTTTCAAGCTGAGGTGAAGTGTCAGCAATGAACTTTACAAATTAACTTACAGTATCTTGTTTAAGACAACAAGAAGATAAATAAATAAATAACATCAGCAAGCCAGTGAGAACAGACAATAGACCTGGGCTCCCATGTCAGCCTATCCTCAGAAAGTTACAAGCAAATGTCCTGGAAGATATTGAATTACACAGAACACACTGTATCTTGTTGCACTGTACATCTTACCACCAGAATCTAAGATTAACCATGAGATTACCATGGCAGTGGTAAACACTAATGGTGCAAGAGTGAGGAGGTCACTGGTAACATTATGGTTAGTTTAGTAACGCTCATTGAAAAGTTCATTAACTTTTTGTCTACCATCTTAATGGACATCTCCAGTCTGGTTCTTTGGTCATAAACAGTTAACATCTTGAGGTTTCTCATATTCCAGTAAACAGTATTGATTTGTTTTCCTTCATTTGCTTTGAACTGAAGTATGTCTTGTAATAGTTTTGTATAATTTAATTGTTACTACCTTGCTGGAGAACAGTTAATTGTCTGCATCTACATAAAATGATTCCTGTCATTATTGTGCAGGTATCTGATCTCTTGCTACAGAACAAGCCAATCCCTCGACTCAGAGATGTTAGTGCAGACTTACAATATGAAAGGTGAGCAACAGATAAATCCTAACTATAAACAGTAGAATGTTCAACTTTAAAAAACAACATTTTTACAAGTTCATGCCAAGTTATATCAAAACTGCAGGCAATAGAAAAGTGGCTGGAATCTTTTTAGACTGATTGACCATTTGTTTTGGTTTTTTCATTGTTTTCTTATATAAATACATTTTGTTCTGAAAATTCCATGCTGATAAAACTGTTGTTACAATAATATATGTACTGGTGACTGTGGTAGAACGGCTAACATGCTAGCCTGTTGGGCTGTGGTCATGTGCTCACAGCTCCCTCAGGGAGGGTTATTGAAGAATTGTTGGGGCTTCTGGGTTAACCCAGCCTAAAATGGACATCAGGAAAGGTTCCAGAAAGTTAAGTCAACAATAAGATATTAACCCATCACTAACAGAGTGTTGATAGGTTTTTTCAATTATGTGTCTATCACCATATGCGCCCCTAATTACGGAGAAGGATCCTTTACGGGACTTACATTATGCTAAAGAGTTGAAGTAAACAAAAAGATTTATAAAGCCAGTAAGATTGGAGGCCCACGTTTATTGTTGTGCATGTAAAAAAAACACCTTGGCAGTTGGAGATTGAAAAGAGTAGCCAAACTGCACTGCCCGGGCAAAATTTGGAGTTAAAAATCTACCCAAAGTATTTCAGGATCCTTGCTGGTGCTATGGAGTTCATGCACTGCGCTGAGATTCTTCAGACTCAGACTTGAGTTAGAAGCAGAACGGAGCACTTATGGGTTACTACCTTTGTGCCATGATGTTGATCTGTTGTATAAACCATATATACTCTTGTATAAACCATATATAATCTTGTATTGTCTTGAATTACTTGCTAGAGAAAGCTTGTCTTCTGTACTTTGTTTATACCTTTACATTATTCTTAAGCAAACTCTAAAATAGATCCCCCCAAAATACCATTATTTAGCATATGTATGCAAAACAAATATCTCAGGGGCTTAGGGGCAATTACCAACATGTACTTTCCATGAAGCAAGATGACGGTTCTTCCTTCAAAGTAAGATTTATGACATTTTAATCTATTCTGGCAGTAATTGTATGCTTTTGCTCCATATTTTTGCTTTTAAACATAAAAGCTAATGTATATGTTGTTTGGAGTTTGATTACAAACAAGAAGTTATTTTTGTCATGTTAATAATGAGCCGCTGTGTTACTGGAGCCCATAAGGAAAGCAAAGAATATTAAAACTGTAACGTCTTTGTTGTCTTTAACAACAGTCAAAAGATGGAGTATGCAATGGTACAGACATGTAACAGGGTTTATCAGCCTCTCTAAAGTGATACTACAATGCTTTATAGAGGAAAAGATGAGAAGAGGCAGGCCAAGAAAGACCTGGAGACAGAATTTGACTGATGAGACAGGCCTCAGTCATGAAATAATTGCCTCCATTCCACAGAGATGGAGCGAGCTGATCAGACAGTAAGCAACAATTGGTAACCCAACACAGTGTTACAGATAGTATAATGAGGATGAACTTACCATCCATGTTGTTTGGAGTGACTAATGAGGGCTGACATCATAGTGGATTTCTAATCCCATATAAAACTTGTGTGGTCTTTTGGGAGCGAGTGAACAGTGCAGAGGCACAGATAAGATCAGCACGGTCTGAGAAAAATGATGCCGTAACCAGAGTTCCCAGAGAATCTGGACAACACTCAACATTTAAGGGAGTGGTCAGGTAGATATACAGTCAGACTCTTACTAGTGCCATTGAAATTGCAACTCTGAATTGCTGGAAAGATGAAAACTGATGATAATGTGCCAAGGGCTGTGATATTGATTCTTATTTCAACATAGAAAACTTAAGTTGACCAGCCTACAAACGGCTTGGTAACAGGTTGGTGGAGGGTCTGTGTTTCTTTAGGAGATTAGAGGCAGAAGAAGAAAGAGGATGGGTTCTTTCCCAAAATTCTACCCCAGATGACATCACAGGACAGTCCAACATTTTAGAGGGTAGTAAGACTGGGTTTCCCAGCTTTCTGATGCTTTTAATGACCCCAAAACATCTTAAACTGACCCTAACCCCAACCCACCTGCGTTCCACTGCATGCAGCCTAGGTCCCACGACTGCATGCAGCCTATCTACCACTTCCTAAAATATTAGACTGTCCTGTGACCTGTGGATTTCCCCTGTTTGGGGTAGGATATTAAGAAAGCACTGAAGGATGTACAGGAAATAACCAGAAGTTGTTACCATTATTTTTTTGTTTCATCTCTCAAGACATTTCAGTTGTTTTTCATCATTTTTTTTTTTTAACACTATCCCTCTTTCTCGTTATATTAGATGTGAGAAAATTGTCAATGCTTTCCTGAAACTGGATCTGGACAAGGATGACCTCCAGGGGTTCCTCAAGGGCTATGTGTTACCACTGAGTGCTGAACCTCAAGAGAACCCTCAAACTGTTACACACTCAGATGTTGTGAAGCATATTTCAGAGATTGTCACCACCAACCAGATTTCTACAGATAGCCTGCTGCTCCAGACACACAAGGGCAGTAAGGTATGTAACCATGAAATCAGCCAGCAAGAAAATCAGATGAGAGCTAAGGAAATGTCTTGTCAGCCATCTGTGCATACAGGAGCTGACCCAACGCTAAAGCGCACCACTGTTAATAAAGTCACAGAAAATAGTTTGTCTGGAGAACAGAGTTTGCAGACAAATAGAGAAGGTGAAAACTCAAGATTAGCCTGTCAAACACTAGATAACAATAGGAATCAAAGCAGGGACATGGATTCGAGTTTCTGGAAAAATATGCCAGGAGCATTGAGCGAGCAGTTCATCAGAACACCTCTTGTAGACAAATCAGGAAGAAAGAATACTGAAGCCATATTAAATATGTCTAAAGATGCTACAACAAGTCACACTGGGGTCCTTGACAGGCAAAAGCAAAGTCAGGATGTTATATGTGTCTCAGAAACCAAGAACTCCGAGAAAAGAAAAGCAGATATGAAACAGTTTTTTACAGGTGTGCCCAAACAGACAAAACCTCTGCTGAGACCTTCTCATGGCTTGAACCCAGTCTCTGAATGTAAACAGCCTAGAGTGATGATGTCAGCATATCCAGGGGCTACAGCTAGACAAGGAAGAGAACCAGTGTCTTCCAGCAGTGGGTCTCCTCCTGCGAGCGACACCTATTTAGAGGGCCAAGGCAGAAGCTGCACAACTCACATCAGTTCTACAGATAGTCAGCAACAAAAATAACACCTTCACCACCTCTATTTCAGGCAATTGTTATTGTAAATTATAATCACCAATGGTCACATGTAAAAGTAAAATAATGACTGTTTTGGACGGAAGGTGTTACATAAATAACTAGGTCTGTCCAAAAATGTATAAACACTTTGACCCTTAACCCCCCAGATGGGTAATTTAGGTATGTTAGGGTGCTACCATGGTTATTTTTTTATTTTATTTCCAACTCTGCCAGTTCGACAATATATTGTTATATATTGTACACATTTCTGTAAAAGATAACATCTCTTTCAGTTATAACTATTTTGAAATTCTTTTACTTTTCCAAAGAAAGGAGTATCATCGAGTCTGTCTGTGATGAGTAGTATTTGTTCAGTGAAACTCAAAAATTCATCCGCACCAGTGTTATGCTTTTTTTGTTTTTTGTTTTTAAGTTTGTTTTGTTTTTCATTAACATTTTTGATATTCACCCAAAAAGTCAATATTTGTCCAGTCTCTGACATGGCCGGCGAGGAAGATCATAGAACCGATCTCACAACACAAAAGCTGCTCTAGCTACATAAAGAACAGGAACCTGAAGCAGTAAGAGAAATTACATAAGACTAGGAAAAAAATGTTTTTTATAAAGTTCTGTTGTGAAACTGATTAAAAACAATGTTTAATAAGTTTTATTTTAAAATCTTGGTAGTTGTGAAACTCAACTGCAAGGTTTCTACTAATGTTTTATTTGAACATTTTATCAATTGCGAAACTGACTGCAAAATTTCTGATAATGTTTTATTTGAACAGTTTGCTAGTTATGAATTTCATTTGATGCTTTGATTTAAAATTTAGTAAAAAAAAAAAAAAAAACATGTATAATTATTTCAGGTAAAGTTTCTTGTTACTTTTGTTTTGTTTACTTTTCTTTCATAGTCATCTTAGTCACAAAAATGTTATTTACTTTATAAAGCATTAAAAATATGAGAAGAAAATCTGGTACTGTTTGTGAACTTGTAAATGTGTGTGGCTGTGTCAGCATGCGGTTATGTTTTTGTTTTTCCCATGTTTGTGCCACACAGCCACACAAAGAAAGCTATTTAATCATGTGTGTGACACTATGAATCTCTGTGGTTGTTGCATCTACCTGTGTTTGCGTTGCAGCTAATGTGTGACTCTGTGTATCCCTGTGGTTGCACGTACCTGTGTTTGTGTTGCAGCTAATGTGTGACTCTGTGTATCCCTGTGGTTGCACGTACCTGTGTTTGTGTTGCAGCTAATGTGTGACTCTGTGTATCCCTGTGGTTGCATGTACCTGTGTTTGTGTTGCAGCTAATGTGTCACTATGTGTCTACGTACCTGTATGTTTATGCATTCAAGTGTGTATGTGTGTTTGTGTAACTGTGTGTAATTGTGGGAGATGGGAAAGAGTAATATCATATTCTAGAAAGTCAAGACAATGTGTGTAACAAATATGAAGTCCAAAAAGTGATTTCACTCTACACAGAGAAGAACTTTAGTGAGCATGCACACATTTGTATGTGTGTAAGGGAAGGGGATGGGGGTGGCTGGAAGCATTTCAATCAAAACTGTACCCAAAATACATTCTCAAAGTCATTACAATGTGAATACAATATTGACAACTACATAACTAGAAGTAATGAAGTGGTGAGACAAAATTATCAGCTTAACTAAAATGTGCCTCACATGTTATATGTTTAAGTTTAATGTTTAATTAAGAATCAACATCACAGCACTCTGGACTATAAGCACTATGTCCCCATCTTCAGCAGCCAGCGCAGAGTTCCAATTGCAATGATACCAGTCTGATTGTATATTCCATAGCACTCAGGACATTCCCATAAATGACCTGGCTAGTGGCGAAAGGTGATCAGTTCACGTGTGTACATTAGCTAGTTAGTTAGTTAGTTAGTTGGGTTATCCTCATTGCACTCCGGACATGTCCATAGGTGCTCAGATCCTCCCCTCAGTATGAACCCCAACGTCCGATGGCTAAAGGTACCAGTTCTATGTTGATTAACAAGTCTTCTGGCGTGTCTGGTGTGCGTCTCGTTTTTTGCTGTGCCGATCTTAATTCCCAAGTCTGCCATTCTGGCGAGTGATGTGGATTCACTGCCACCAAAGTCCTCTATCCTTCCCATTTCTCTGAGGGCATTGAAAATATCAGCATGATCCATAGGCTGACCGTCGGTAGTGATAGCGGATCCAGCCAACCTGTCAGCTCTTTCATTTCCATCGACGCCTGCGTGTCCCGAAACAAAAATAAAGGTGACTCTACGCACAGTGGACTTCTGTAATGATTCAAGCCATTGTCTTCGCACTGAACCTGCCTGAACCCTCCGGATCATACTCATTGAATCACTGAGTGTACATACACGGGTGTATTTTTGTGTTTCAAGCCAGGCAAACGCTTGCGTCACTGCCATCACCTCCATCGTCATGCTGCTGGTTGTCATGGAGAAGGCGCCGTTGGCTTCTTTGACTGTTCTGCCCGCTGAGCGTGCTGTAAATGCCCATGCGCTTCTTCTTTGGCGTATAACGGATCCGTCTGTATAGATTATTGCATCTGCTTCGTCTGAATTTTCACCGATGAGAGCGTTGACCTCTGCATTAACAGCAACAGGATTCTCTTCTCTACATCGCCTGTTGAGTGTGACAATACAGGAAAATGTACAAATAAACGCCTGAGTCACGGGTATCCATTCTGCACCAGGTATGATGTCGGTTAGGCTGCATATTTGCCTAATAACATCTTCTGCCTGACCTAGCCACGATTTCCCCCTCTTCAGTCTGTCGCCCTTTTCACTAAGCGCTTGATGCAGTGGGTGTTTCTTATCAGCACATATTTTGAGATATGCCCGAGCCCTCCACATCCTGATCCTTTGGTTCATTGTTGGAAAGTCAAGTAGATACCTCATTGCTCCACAGGATGTGTCTCTTGTACATCCCAAAATAATGCGCATGGCTTCATTTTGCACCTTTTCGAGTCGTTCAATCTGGGTAGCACTGACAGTGAGGATGGCCAAAGCGTATTCAATGGGGGAAAGGACCAGACCATAGAATAGAAATATTATAGTCTTTGCTCAATATTGGAAGCAGCCATAATCCTCATTGCAGATAGACCTTTGCGTGCTTTTGTTATCACATGGGTTGGGGTTGCTACTATGAGTTTGTGCGAAGACGAGATGCGGCGACACTAACCGTAACCCTAACCCACACCCTAACCCTAAACCTAACCCAAACCCTACCCCTAACCCAAACTGTAACCGTATGATTATAGCAGGGCAGTGCACGCTGTCTATCACCAACACACAGTAATTATGTCATTTGTTTTGTTTCCTCCTTTCCACTCCATAATAGCACTGCAGCCAGGGGACAAAACTCAGATTAACCGACCGTCTACCGGCCGTAGTTGAAAGGAGAGCCTAAGCTGCGAAACAAATTCTCTGTTTTTATGGGGTCGAGTGTATAAAAAAAGATTGAGGAAAATTGGTCTACATTTAGAGTAAAGGAAAGGCGGACATACACTGTAACTCCTACAAATGCAATTGGAACTCTTTGACGGCTGCTGAAGACGAGAACGAAGCAAAAATGGCTGTAATTTCACTTCTAGACTCAACTCCGCTTTTATGTTATCTGTTATTCTTTATGTTATCAGGATGTATTCTGGTTCCCCCTCTTCTTTCTTTTGTTTTCTGCGTGTGCCATGATCTACGGTGATTTACCGCAAGGCCTTTCGACCCAATACATCAGATGCCAGCAAACCTTTAATTACTCGTACTTTACGACATGCTTAAATTATTTAGGGGTACTGGGTTTATTCTTAGCCTTCCCCACCCTTCTTCTTCCCAAACGAGCCTCAAAACCCACACAGGAATGTCTCTTTTAAGTCATGGCCAAAAGACGTAGACTGTCTTAACCTGATGTTGGCAATCAATTCCCTTCGTGTAGTGATTTAATTTTTATCAAAACATCATACAGTTTTTTTTTCTGCCCATGTGGGTTTTCATCATTTCTCTATAGAACCACATTTTTACAGCTCCCATACAATTTTTCACAGATCGGCAGACTCTAGAGAAAGACAGTGCAGTGTCTTCTTCTTCTTCTTAGCATTCACCAGCTGTCAACTCCAGTGGAAAGTTCTGGGTGTTAGTCCACCTCCGGACATTATTTGTGGACCAGAACCTGAGTGTTGCATGCACATACGTTTTACAGATTCTGGCTCTCCTTTCAACTACGGCCGGTAGACCCATTTTCCACCCAGGGTTGCCAGATAAAAAAAACTTTATTTTATGCCAAACCATTGCCCAAAATATGCCAGAAAATGCCAGATAAAGTGTAACATTGTACTCGCTTCACATCAAAAGCTCTAGATTGAATTCTTCACTGTCATCCTCACTGGGACAAGTGGAAGACACAGCGTAAACCTTTTCGGATGTAAAATCTTTAAGCAGTTTCTCAGATGGGATGAAATCTTTGCAGCTCATCTATAATGATGGCATATTTCTTGCTCCAAAAATTACCAATAAAGTCACCCTGCATTATTACTAAGGAAAATAACCTGCTAAACTGTGAATACTTTAGTCTATAGAGTTATCATCCTGCTTTTCAATTTAAATATCAGATGCTTTTTAGTAATCAGTCGAACGCAAACATAAGGAACAGGATAGGGGTTTGTTGAAACAAATGAATCGAAACAGCAAAAATAATTGACATCTTTCCATAATGCATTGTACAAAAGATTCAGCGTAATTTCCGCTACAAATAAGCAGATTTAGTGGTAACCAAACGGTCTCACATCTGATTATCCTTATGTCCTTTTTAGGACGTAATTTTTTGTTATTTGAAGCCCCACTCTGGCTTTTGCCAGGGGCCGCAATATAGGCAGGCCATAAATATGGCAAATTGTCTGAACGCGGTTTCTGGGACCTCTCCACGGCGATCCTCATCCACATGGTGGCACTTTGTGTCATCGGGTGTTTATCGCTTGTGGGATGTCCTGGTGGGGT